TTACTATCAGTTCTATAACCATGAAGTTTTGCTATTAACAAACGGTAGGGGAAATCATCCAACACTTTACTAAATGCGAGGAAAATACAGTCAGAAGTTGATATATGAATTGGGTTAGCCGAGTCAGACACGATTAACCTTGATGAAAACCATGTTTAGATGAATGTTCCAAGGGCCTTTACATAGTCAATGATGCTTGCATATAAAATATAATTTGTGGCTATGTTTCTGGGACCAGCTTTGTGTGTCAGGGCTACCCTACCAAGCTTACGTTGTGATAGAGAATTTTTTAAACAGGTAGAAATGCAGACACACCCTACTGGAGCAATAAATTGGAATACAAGGAGGAATCTTGTTGGGACCAGTTGCCTTGCTTACAACCACTTCATTTAAAGGGGCGATGCAGCAATTTTAGTATTTTGCGCTAATACCGCTTAGAGCGGATCCCTGACGTTAATGACATGTGAAATACCCGTTTGTTTTTTACCACGCGCAATCGAAGTCACAGAAAAAAAATAAAGGAAAACGAGCAGAGGTCATCCCCTCAACTCGCAGTCAGGACAAGCGGCCACGTGATCTGGAGCCGAGTATATGCCGCCAATGTTGATCATAGCCACGCGCTGGGGTTGGCAAGGCACAGGACACGCGCTGCGTTCCAGACATTGTTATGGTTCGGCTGTTGTCGTCATTGCAGTGATTGGACACAGGACACTACCCGAATGCTTCTCGAGCTGTTGATTATCACGAGCCCAAATCGAGTGGCCACACAATGCTCGGGTCCAATCTATAAGCCGCATTCAAATATCGTTACTGGGCGGTACTGCTACCGCCGAGCTACGTCATCAGGTTTTGCGAAGGAGAGATTGAATGAAAATGCTCGGTTTTGTCCTCGAAATTACAGCACAACAAAGGAGTTCTCTTGGTCAGTGGCGTTGCGTGCGAATATCCTTGAGTCCCACTAGTGCCAGTAAGCTCGTGTAAAGTGAAAAACATTCCAATTGAATATCGTTGCACCGCCCCTTTAAAGGTTTCCTGATCCCCTCTACTTTGAAGGCGATGGACGGCATCTCATTGGTCGCTGCTGGAGCTCCGAATATAATGTCCCATTGCGCAAACTGATAAAACGCAGAATAAAAGGAAGTATTCGGTAGTTTGACTTTATTTTTATAAGTTGAAAGAATACAAAACTCTTTTAGGTTGTGTTTCACTATCTCTTCAAAAGTTTCAAAATATAGCTGAAGCCGTTCAGTTCATTGCTAGATTTTTTGTACTTATTCGCACCGTCTGCCTACGAGACCTTCGCCGTGATTCGCGACGGTGCCTTTTTGCTTTTCTGTCGCGGTCTCAATAGTACATCCTACATTCTATGCAGTAGGGATCCCAGAGCACTATCCTTTTTCTGTTCCCTCGCTCATTCAAGGAATTGACTCGTGCTACAAGTATGAATCTGTCTTTCCAAATGAGGTATGATACCAAGCTTTACTGGATGCCAAGCCATGTGGGGATTTCAGGTAACGGAAAGGTAGATAAGCAGTTTCTACTAAGGTTGCTCTGAAAACACCCAGTGGGCCTCCTTAAAGGCCGACAACCAGACTTGAGATTCTGCAAGGCAGAATACCCTCCTCAGCATGGGGGAGGAGGAAACGGGCAACGGTGGGCAGTGTAGAAGGGGGGAGAGGAGGAAGCGTGGGAATAGTGGAAAGCGCCAACTGGTCGTCGGCCTTTAAGAAGATTTCCAACCAGTTTTAAAATGGGAAGGGGACGTGGAAATAGATTGCAAGCTAAGTGTTATCCAACCTTGTTTGGAGGTGTGGGAGAGTTCTCGCTTGACAATTGGATATTCCTACCCGTCGATACCTGCTCCTTGGTGAAGACACTCCACTTTGTGAGCATTGTGGTCTACTGTACTGCACATTCTGTGACACTGAAAGTATTTTCATCTATAACTTTCTGGATATCTTCTATTTCATCCAGCCTTTATTGGGAGATGAACATTTAGTCCCTTTTGGTCATGTTTTAGATTTTCTTGAGAAAGAAAACCGGCTATCTACACCAGTTATAGATCTTCTGCACTGTAATTTCTTTCTTTTACAATAGACCTTTTTAAAATTTCCATACACAGCATGGCCAATGTTGCACTTTGTGCCATTAAACGCCTAATCATCATCGATGCAATAGAGAATTTGAATTTGGGCTGCTGCCAGATACAATACAATACAATAAAATCAACTTTATTTTTCCAGAAGTACTGGAGCGGTCTCCAGACAAAAAGTGCTGCTAAGAGCAGCTTGACTGGGCCTGGGTTCCCCTTATACATGGCAGCAGCTCGGACAACAAACATATAGAACACTTTACCAGGATGATAAGAAAAATAAATCAAGGTCACATAACATTGAAGTAGCAGAAGAACAAAATTAGTTATGAATAGTTGAAACAGTAGGCATGTAAGATGTTATGGTTTCTTGACTCGCCGAGCCTGTCGTTCCAAAATGGTCTCTTAGCGCACGAGAGGGGGAACCTTGCCTAGGAGAGGTGGTGATAAGGTGCAGTGAAAAGAGGTGATCACAGATGCGACGAAGCTCAGCCTTCACAGTGGTTAGCTTCTCGGTCTGGAGCAGACAAGTAACCATTGGCTTCTCGGCCGTGGGTTCCGTGTTCGTTAGAACGCGTCTGGAAGTTGTTAGTTGACACAAGCAACGGCCCTTCGGGTTATTTCCTCTCCCCTTTCTCGGAGGCTTCGTTCGTAAGAGAAAAAGTAAGACAGCCATTGCTAGGCGTAGTGGACGACGTTGGCTTTGGAACATTAGACGCCAGACGCTTGCTCCATGCAAGGAGCAGACGGCAGTCTTACTGACTCTGATTTGGAGGAGATAGCGCAGAGACAATGGCAACTACGCTTTGCATCTACCTCTTCCACTTGGAGCTTGGCCACCGTGGGCACCGTTGGTTTTGAGCGTGGCACGGCTGCCATTCTTTTTGTGTTTGGGTTTTGTTTGCTTTATGCTGAGAGGCCCAGTTGTGAAGCGATCTCGGTCGGCTGAGCGGTGTCTCCGGGCAGTTCCAAATGGTACCAACAACATGGAGGTAGGTAACGACAGTCAAGAAAGCTGCCGCGTTACTGCCTAGGTCAGCTGGGCAGCACCATATCTACGAGTGGCCCATCTTTTGGTGGGTAGCAGCAATTAGTGGCTAAATTCTTTGGGGCTCTTCAGGCATGGCTCGCAGTGCTGCGATTGCAATGGGGTCACCTTGCTACATGCTGCTACAAATCACCAAAATTTGACAAATTTCTGCCAATGATTTGGCTCATTCTGGTTCTTGACCGCCTTCTTATAATTCGGGTCTCTGAACATTGCCAGACTGTTACATTGACAGATGGTGCTTATTTTGGACTGTTTGGATCACATACTGTACGATTGGACCTTTGGCTCAAATACGACAGTCGTCGCACCACTTGATTGTGGTATTTAGAAGGCTCAAGGTACACCTAAGCACTTCTTATGAGTTGTGAATGCGAAAGTATGCACGCCACTCTTCCGCTTCCTTTTTTCGTTGACGGTCGAGCGTGCATGCTGACCTTGGGCGTGGAGCGGTGGAGCTACTATCTCGCGGACATGCAGCGCCATGGGGTGGCGGTCGTTGAAACTGACGTGCAGCGGCCAATGGGAGCCTCGTCGACGCGTGCCAGCCAATAGGAGTGAAGCCGAAATCCATCAGCTTTACGCCACTCGTTTGGGATCAGGGAAACTAGGTGCCGTTGTGTAGGCTTTTCGCGTGGTTCCATAGCTGGTAGCTGGCTTCACTTGGAGAAAGGATTTCAGGTTTGGCGCGGTTTCAAAGCTGATGACGTCAGCTCGCTCCATGGGGCAGTTAAAACAACATGGGTGGAGCCTGAGGGAATACGTTAGTGTGACCCTTGGGAAACTCTTTGCATGTCCCCGTTTTGGAAACGCTGACGGTTGGCTTGCCGCTCTTTGCGCTGCCTTTCGAACAGCCGAGTGAGGCGCTGCTTCCTCTGTCTCATTGGCCCGCCTTGCACGCTTAGCAGAAACATTCGCTGCCTGACGCTTTTTTCACTGCTCACCGGTTTCGGCAGCCCGTCTCCTTCGTTCACAGCCCGTCTTCTTTTGCCGCATGCTTGAACGAGCGCTAGTACTTGGTTCACACTCCATTTTGTAGCACAAACCAAGGCGTACGCACACCTGCAAGTTCAAACTTGTCCCAGCTTCTGCGCGCGCATTGACTTGCGCCCCGTGACGTCGCCTCGCTCTCGCCTTTGTCCTTCACTCCTCTCTTCCTCTCTACGCAGCACGCTTCCCTTTACACTGTTTGGCTTGCAGACGGATGCCATCAGCTTTTCCCTGCCGTGTGGGTGCTAATGCTGAAGCATGAATAGAAATTTGAACCGTGGTGCGTGTTGTGATTATGCAACACTGCAGCAAAGTTGTCAAAAGAAAGCCACGGTTGTTACGCACGACTGCAGTGAGCTGCAGACGTCATTGGCCGGGTCGTGATTGTTTCTTGAGGTTTGAGATTTAAGAAACAGGATTTGAGTATACCAAGAGGCTTGACATATATCATTTTAGGTTTATTTTTTATCCGAAATCCCTAATTTTTTCACCTCTCTGTAGGGGTTTGACTCTTCCAAGTCACGATCAATCAATAATTAGTTTAAAATAAAATTAGACTAGCTTTGGCTACGGACAAATGGAAGCTTGCTTGTATACTAAACGAAATCTAACGGATTTTGTTTAAGTAAACAGGCTTATGCTTGCATACAGATTTTCCATAGCCTAGAAGCCTTCCACATGGAAATGTCAGTGGTGTGCTGTAATGATGAAAGCTGAAATGAAATAAAAATCCCACTATTATTGGGACTTTGTGAAATTCCTCTAGCTGCTGCTAGAGGATACCAGCATACCTATTGGGAAGATAGGCTGCAGGAAGAGTAGAGCAGTGGGAAGTTGTAGATTGAAGCAAGATGTGTTTTCCCGGTGCAGTTCTCGCTCAACTCGAGCCGGGAGCAGCTGACGGTGCACTGGGCGGGCCGCAAGAGCCCCGTGGTGGTGTGCCTGGCCCGGGACCGGGCCCAGCCCTCGGGCTCGGAGGTGTACGTGTCCGGGGACTACGGCTCCTCCTTTGAGGAGAAGCAGGCGGCACTCATGCGGCTCACTTCGGGCCAGCCCTCCACCATCCACACCTTCTACATCTCACCTGTGCTCAACAGCCACGTGAGTCGGTCTCTGCATCCAGGGGGCCCTTCTTTACGGCTCTTTTCTACCCCTTTCTTACATTTTGGGCTCCAACCGAGTCTTTAGAAATATCTCCGAGCCGATGCACCTTGTGGCTTTAACTTTTGCCGCACCATATTAAAGCGCCAGGGCTGGTCTTGGAGCAAGTTTTTGTTACCAGAAATGTGGTAAATTTGATTTCACTCGTTGCATACATCAAATTAACTTTGCAAGGCATTGCATAAAGGGGGTACAACTTTTCCTATAATAAAATTGGGAAAACAGACAGAGTGAAAACAAGAAGAAAACAAATAATTATACGGGCATTCTAACAGCCTAACAACCCCCTAGGTAAAAACGTTCAGGTCGTTTGTTGCCACCGAGCGTGACTGTTCCAACCCGACTTGCGTAGTGGGAAGGGTGAGTATTTGTAGGCGTTCTGAAGGAAATAGGTCCACCGTTACGAGGATGATTGGGGCAAGAGGAAATATCATCGTGGGAAATGGTTAGCTGACCATGGCTTTGAAAGGCACGAAAGGGCCATGAAAGAGAGCCGATAAATTTTTCTGCGATTGTCGAGAGTTTGCAGAGATATGGAATGTTTCAGAGAAGAAATGCCGGGAATAATGGCGGGTAATAAAGCAGGGCAGCGGAGAAAAGCTCACCGGAAAAAAGCTCACCGGAAAAAAGCTCACCGGAAAATAGCTCACCCGAGAAAAGCTCACTGCAAAACCAGCAGGTGCAGAGAAAAGCTCACCGGCCTTTGAGCAAATGCAAAAAAAAGCTCACAGATTCTTTTAAATTTTTTTTTAACGCATTATGTGTCACACGTGGCAATTTAACACAATTAGAATTCGTCACTTTGTTAAAAATAATTGTCCTCTTTTTGGTAATATTCTTGTAGTTCATTGGGGATATTTACTACCGTAATTCCTGAGAAATTAGTAATCACCCATTCTGTATCTTATAACGCCGCAAGCATAAAATCAGAACATCGGACACCTGTAAGAAGGAACAATTTATTGACAGCTTGACAGTGCACCGTCGGTATCTCTGTCAGATAAAGAAGTTTTTTTTTTTTGCGAGCTAATATGAATAGTGGTGTTTGAACCGTTTCAGCTCCGAGGTTGCGTGGTGCCTGATAGATATCTAGGTGTTCGTTGATGTAATCAGTGTCGGTTACGCTGGTTTCTTTCTGTTATTTTCACTATTCAAACTTTAGTTGCGAGAACAGCTTCATCCTGTCTTGTTTGTTGTCTTCACTCCGTCTTCGTCGTTTGAGCGGTTTTCATCACGTTTACCAACTGGCCCAATTCGCTTCCTTACAGAAGACTAGTTCTTATATAGATCATGAGTAACAACGGTAACAGTGTGCAGCTCTGAAGGTCATGGGTGGCTCGCCGTAGAAGGCTGCGCTATCACACAGCAACATGTGGAAGCACCAGCACGAACGGCTAGAAAACGTGCATGTCCGTAGAAGAAAGAAACCTCAATATCCTACTCACCGTTCTATGCTGTTTTCAAAGGTTAACAAAAGATTCAAAGAAAATTTCAGGCACGGCGTTACGCGTGCACTTTCGGATTTCCGGCATTTAAAGTTTTGCTTTTTAGGTTTTAGGCAGACATTATTAAGTTTTCAAACTTTTTCCTGTTTTTCAAGTTCATGAAGTTCGTAGATAGGCTTTCGATGCCTAGAGAGTAAACCACAGAAAACACTCGCCCACAATTATTAATTTGGGAGCAATATACCCAATAAGCTTAACTGATATAACAAAAATTGACATTTTCTTTTTACAAAGTTGACGAATTTTAATGATAATAAATTGGATATATGTTGCCCATGATCCAACAGCCTTCATATAAAAAGAAGAAAAAAGTCTGAGTTTTTCTCCGCGTACGCTCAATGGCTAGTGATTTTTGCTCCACATCTGCCGGTTTCGTGGCGAGCTTTTTCCCGGTGACCCTTTCTCCGGTGAGCTTTTCTCCGGGATTCAATAATGCACGATTCTGGACAGCTTCAAGTAGGTTCATGATGTGTATTTGATTCCATATGATGCATGCATATTCCAGGTTAGTATAGGCTACACACTGGACATATAAGTGCAAGATAAAGATGCTTGGTTAAATGTTTTGTTCCCTTTAGAGCAAATGTGGCAGAAAAAAAATAAAAAAAAAATTTATCTTGGGATTTACGGCATTTTATTATCCTTAAATCTTCATTATTTTATGTATAAAAAGTTATGATGGCAAAATTAGTCATATATGCATTTGAAGACCTCGTGGCAACACAAGAACGGTCTGAATTTGAGCCATTTTTTCGTGTGTGGTTGTTCAAGTTGTGACTCCTAATGTGCATGTTACTAGAAACTAGTAGTTACACAGTAACATGTTACTAGTAAGTATAGTCCTTTGCAACCTAAGAACGAAGGGCGAGGGTAAGACGGGCCGGGGAGGAGGAAGCAGACGGAACGCTGGAGAAGAGAGGGGGAAACCTCCTTCTCTCTTTAGCGTTCCGTCTGCTTCCTCCTCCCCGGCCCGTCTTACCCTTGCCCTTTGTTCTTAGGTTGCAACGGACTATAGTTACTGCGAAGGACTGCATGAAACTGCTTGGAATCAATTGGGAACAAATTCTACAGTTGAAGGAGTGAACCTCTGCCAGCCGCTGATGTCACTTTTTCATTGTCGCTGGCAGAGATTTTCAGTTTGAAAAACACGGTGAGGACCGAAATTGCAAATTCAATAACTTAGTGAAAAAAAAAATTATTTAGACCTAATATTTGAAATACTATTTCAGCAATGTTTCTCGTTGTGTTTAACAAACTTTCGGGGACCACGAAGAAAATGCCGGAGTAAGAGGTGCTGAAATAAAAATTTAGATGTATCTCACACGTTGAGAAATAAGTCAAAGATGATACGTTTGTATTTTGAACAGAGGGCTATTTGGTCTTTCCCATTGGGCCAGTTCTGGCAAGCCCTCGAAGAGCAATCATTGGAAAGGGCAATGCTTTTCGGGGGACTGGGTGCCTTGGGCACAGGGCCAGTTTCTCAGCTCTGCCACATGGTGGCATAGATGCATTAGAAGCCAGCCATTGAGGATGTCCGAGGACTGGCAGGGAAGCGACTCACCTTCCTTCCCCCTGCCGCAGGGGAGAAGGGAGATCCAGTGGGGCCTGTTGCCATACATGGCAGCGCTGCTTTTAGGGGACAACACTCAGGGCTTGATTACCCAGGGCTCAAAGGGTTCAAATGATCCCTCAAAGAGGAACGCAAGGCACAAAACGCAAGCATATCACTTGACAACCGTCTAATGAAAGCTCAGATACAGTGCTTCTCAGCTTAAATACCTCAAAAGAAGTCGAAATTTGTTCTTACAAAGTCGTTTATTTATTTTGACACGCTTCCGTCACCTTCAAAGTCCCAATGCTCAAATTCTCAAAATAGCATTCAAGACGATGTGCGCCGGGGAAACGTTTTTTGATTATCATTTATGATATCGAAATGATATTTTTACACTTTATGGTGCTTCATCTTCTCTCGATAAATATGGTGTCAGATTGGATATAGCTTGTTTTTTAAGGTTCTCGGTGCAATGTACATGCAGAAAAAACCATGTTGTTGTGCACACCTAAAAGCCTAGTAAAATAAACTAATTTGCTTCTTTTAAACCACCGAGTGCAATGAACAACTAAAATAATTTGTGCGACGCTTCTTTCATTTTAACATAATAAAAAAATAATAGTGAAAATGCCATTTCATGGGGCTAACATGCGTTTTTAAAATTTTTATAAATATGGTTGCATTCTACAATATTCTAAGGTATATCCGTGCAAAATTTGGTTATGATAGGACAATATTAAGAACAGATGTTCTTGTGTACAAACTGTGATGCCCCAAAGTTGCAAAAAAAGAAGAAAAAAAAAGCGTAGGAATGTTACCGTAGATGTGTAGCTATACTCTTTTGCAGTGCGGAAAAAATTATTTTGGTAATAAATTTCTGTGAGAAATTCAGGCTACAGAAGACTGCAATGGAGAAAATACATCTGGCCTACTTGTCAATGTAAATGCGACGGCGGGCGACGTCAACTTGGAGAACCAGGCGGAGAAAAATGGCTCCAATTCATGCCATCCTGGGTTGCCTGGAGGCCTTCGAATGCCTATTTGACTTAATTCATGATCATAACCGGCATTAATTATTTTTTTTTATCGAATATAAAAATTCAAAAATAATAAAACATCATAAAACCCAAAAACACATTTTTTGCAAAATATTGCCGTTTTTCGACCCGCTCCTTCCTTTAAACTTGTTGCTTTTGCTACCGTTGAGTGCTTCTGCCACTTCTTGTTTTGCCTCTTCCACATGGGCAAACTTTCATTTTTCCAAAGTGTCATCGGTGGGAACAGAAAAAAGTCAGACGGGGAGACGACAGGTGTGTGGGGAAGGTGGGAATCCTGCCGTTTTTGGCCAAAAACTGCCAAACACTTGTTGTGGTCTGGCAGGCGAAACCAGTCTCGCCACAACTCGGGTTGTTATTCTGCCCACACATGTAGAGCGTTGAGTTACAGTCTCAAGGTCAGCTAGTTGGTACATGTTAGATAGGTTAGAAAGGGACAGTGCTGTTTTTGTCCCTTTCTATCCTTTGTGTTTGTGCTTATGTTCTAGCTGACACTTATAACTAACGAGCTGAACATTGGGCAGTTTTCGATCAAAAATGGCATTGCCCCTGTGCTTCACCCTGCCTATTCACCTGACCTTGCCGCCCTGTCCGTGTTTTTTGGGTCCCAAGATGAAAGAAAGTTCTTTAAAGGAAAGAGTTTCCCGACGTGGAAAGGGTTGCACGAAAAGTGGCAGAAGCACTGAAAGGCACCAAGATGGACGAGTTTAAAGGCTATTCTGAGTGATGGAAGAAATGTCTGGGCAATTGCATTGCATTAGCTGGCAACTACTTTGAAGAAGATTCACATTTGAGTGCGTAAAAATAATATGCCATTTTGTAAAAATAAACTTCGGTTTCTTTTGAGTCTCTCTCGTTATAGTGCTAAACTTTTTTTCGTTTTTTTTTGTGGGAAATATTTTTTTTATTTATGTGTTCCAATTAGGCTCTTTTAAAAAATTGATTTCTTTGCTTCATTGTGCTTTTAAAAGGATGCTCAACCGAAATTTGGAGCTCACAAAACAAGGCTGGAGCGATAGGTGGGATGCTGCAAAACCCCAAAACATCACTCATACAGCGATATCTCTAATGGTTGGCCGCATTTTTTGTAAAAGAAGTGCGTGATCGAAGACGGCCGATGAAGCGGACGAGACAGGCGACGTCACGATTCTCATTCCTTCTCCTCTTGGCTTCGTCGCCTTGAGCTCGGGAAGCGAAATGAGGAGGAGACGAGCAAGGCCTTTCATTCTCGAGCGTTCCAGAATGATTGTGATGTCGTCATTTGATCATGCCCATCTTTTCCAAAAATACGGCCATCCGTTTGAGATATCGACGCAAAACTGATGTTTTGGAAAGTGTAGCGTCCCGTTCAATGCTTCTGCGGTGTTGCGAAATCCAAATTTCGGTTCAGCATCCCTTAAAGGGGTACTCCGGCATTTTCTTTACAGTCCCAATTTGCTTCAAAATTTGCTAAACACAGCAACAAACATCACTAACCCGAATATTGGGCCAAAATTAATTTTTTGGGGGCGAACTTGTTGAATTTACAATTTTGGTCCTCACCATGTTTTTTAAAGTGAAAGTCTACTGGCAACAATGAAAAAGTGATGTCAGTGGAAGGCAGGGTTTTGGGCTGTAGACTTTGTTCTCAACTGATTGCAAGCAGTGTCATGGCGTCAAATGAATGCATTGGAAGCTTGCACTTGCGCAGCAGCACGAAACAAAGGCTCGGCATAGTTCATGTTTAGACTCAACCTCCAAGCCTGCCTTCCACTGAGGTCACGGCCCTAAAATTTGAATGTTAGTTTTGGTATCATTTTCGCTTGCCCATTTCACAATAACTATTCTGAATTTCGCGATACTAAATAGCATGCCAGAAAGGGCCGGTGATTCTGAAGTTAGCTAGGGGTAGCTGAAAAATTGGCCAGAGTTTAAGAGCAACTGTGGCTGCTCCTCGTTGGTCGGTAGCAAAAATTTGAACTTGGGCATCAGAATAAATTTGACCGACGCGGACAAACTTGAGGGACAGGGGACTTGTCTTCCGGGCCCACAAACGCTCCTAGACGAATGGCCGAGGCAGGCCCAGGGGATTGAGCACGTGGTGTTAAGACGAGGAGAGTGCACGCGGAACGGTGGGAAGCCCCCAGACGCTTCCCCTCGCAGATGGTGTTTGTCGACGTGGTGCACAAGCACCTGTTCACCTCAACGGACCTGGGCCAGAGTTTCCGGGGCCAGGCGGTGGGCTTTGTGCCAGACGTGGTCGCGATGCACCCGACCAACGTGGAGGTCATTCTTGCCATGGCCAGGGAGGACCCCGACAAGAAGGTGGGCTTTTGTGCGCAGCCACTGGCCGCCTAAGAATCCAAGGAGTGGAACCCTGCTTTTCCTGTTGGTCACTAATTTTGCTCTATGTGAAAGCGGTTGTGTTAACTTGGGCTCTTTTTTTGCGCTATTTTATACCTACTAGCCCAGCAACATACCTTACTAAAGCGGAACCGTTTGAACGGCTTATCAAAAGTATGTCCCGAAAGTTCACGAGAGGATGCAAGCAAGCAGTGGGTATCCATTGCACATCTCCTGTGATTTCTTGCTGCCTGGTTCAATGGACTAAAGGGATCAAATTGACCGGGGGTGTCTAACGAGACCTTGTTTCACGCATTTTCGAGCTTTGTATCTCAAGAGTTGCGTCAGTGTCTAGTACGGCAGGCATTTAGTGCTCTTTCTGCCAGCTGCCAAGGCACTCACCTTGGAGAAGTTGGGTCCCCCGTTTGCTGCATTTCTCCTTGACCTCTTTTTCTCATTTTCCTTTTCCACTTTCAGTCTCGCGTACCAGAACTGTTCGAGCCGTCCGGGCGTAGTATTAACATTTGGGGTTTCTAGCCTCGATTGCTCGCTTTAGCCGTGACCGAGGTGTGATCGGTATATAATATGCTTTGAGTTAATTTAAGTTGTTTCCTTTACGTACATGAAGAATCTCTTGTCATTGGCATATTGGCATTGAAAAGTTACAAAAGGCAAACCAAGCAATGGAGGAATGAAAACTAGTTGAAGACAATGTGCGGCACAAATATCTAGTAGCGAGTTTGTTTCACATGCGCTGGCACCATGTGCTCTCTCCCAGAATGTGTCGCACACGCAGAGTGGCACATGAAGAAGCGGTCCTGAACAAACAAGAAGTCTCCAACTGATGTGTTTAGCGTCCTATCCTGCCCGTACATCAAAGGGGGTCCCCAAGTGGCAGCACATGACGCCGCAGAAACCGAGGGGTCACGCTGTCGGACGTCGCGAACCTGGCGGCTCGTCGTAGAAATGCTGGCGAATAGCACGAGCAAACGCGAGTGTCGTCATGGCGTCCCAACTTCTGGCTGCCGAAGCTTTCGCAGACTGTCACACCAGGGAGCGACCTGCAGCAGAACAAATGTCTGCTACATCCAACACCGGTGCAGGAACACCGCCAGGGTTGCGACTGGCGACAGCGTGACACTTTTATGACATCTCCGGGCGTAAATCGAGCGACCACTTTTTAAAACGCGGTAAACACACCAGTTGGAGAGCCGTTCCAACCATAACCTTAGCTGCAAGAACTCTCGCTCAACAGGAGCAACTGGTAGAGTTAAAGCTACAATCTCGGGCGCCTAACTGTCTGATTGTACCTTTCAAATACGATTATTTTCTTATAATGCCGTTGTAAAAATCGCCAGGAAAGCAAAAAGTGCCGTACGAAGAGATTTCCTTTTTTTTCTACATCCGTCGAATCTAGTGAATTGTGGAACAGGGCAAGGACGGTGCGATTGGTCTCGTTTTATTGAAAACTGCCAGTACGTTGGTGTTTTAAATGGCATCATAATATCGAGTGGGGCCCAAAGTATTCATATATGCAGATGAAAGGTGAAGGTAGTAAAATGGTGCGTATCACAAGAAGCAGAGAGCACAAGGTTCTTTCTCTAGAAAATCTCTGCGGTGTCTCTGGGACAGTCGGCTGCTTTGCAACGTGAAACACGGCCACTGCTTGCATTTTTTTTCCCCCAAACTAACAAAACATTGCCCCTCCCCCATCCCCCTTGGCCCTTTGGGGGGATCTGGCCCACACGGTGGAATGGCCCCTACCCTAAAGCCTGTAAATTTTCTACGTAGCGGCAGACACGAATGCTACGTCGGCGCATGGTGGGTACTCGGTCGAAGAGGACGCCAGTCACCGCCGAACGCCGACGCGGCACTCGCGTCGGCCTCACGTTGTGGAGTGTGTCGCGGGGGGCTAAGAGTGGAACTTGGCGCAGCTCTGGCTGTCGGAAGACTTTGGCGTCAGCTGGACGGAGATTCAGCGGGGCGTCAAGACGTTCTTCTGGTGAGGCGTCGGCCGTCCCGGGGGAGGTTCCCGGGCTGAGCGGCGCGGCTACGCAGGGGCGACCCCCAGGTGGACCCGGCCAACAGCCTGTTTGTGGGCCGGGAGCACCCGGACGGGAGCCTGGCCGTGCTCTCCACCACCTGCTACTTCAGGGACTCCAGGCCCAGGCTGCTCCTCACGGATGTCGAGGACTTCGAGGTCAAGGGGAAGTTTGTCTTCGCCACCAAACGCCCGGTGGGTCGCCCCCCCCCCCCAATACAAGACTGCCCTCGACGACAGGAATTTTGCGAGCACCTTATGCTTGGTTGCCTGGGCTAGAGGCTCATGCTTGTAGCTCCGATGCCCGCTCGAGCAGTCGAGGTGCGCTCGGGTGGCCTCGACTCTCTGCTCCGGGTTGAAATGAACGCCGGTTCGTAGCCGTTATGCTCGTAGCTTGCTCGGAGTTTTGACCCAAGTAAAGCATTGACTGTCAGACGCTGCCAGATGAGATTTTCAACGAATGGACTGTACCACCAATGGCGACTAGCCTTTGCTGCCATTTCGTCGGTGCATATAAAACAGTTGGTTCGAGTTGGGAATACGGTAAAGGCTGATTGAACCGTTACTATTTGACTACGTTAGGACTTGTGAGGACTCCTGTTGAGTTAGGACCGCGAGTCACCGGGACATTCGTGCTTGCATCAAGTTTGGCCACACAGTCCAGGAAGCACGGAAAAGCTGGTGACTGGAAGTGGTATTGCTTGGGCCCAACATTACTACAACAGCTCGGTCGGGAAACTACCGTAGAGGCCTGCACTGGAGAAGCGGCTCCAACTGGTACTTAATCTGCTTCGCTGCCGAGACGTTAGACGTTCCACTATGTGAGACATGGTACTTTGGTGCCATGCTGGGGCTTCTACATAAACTGCCCAATCCAGAGAGTACGCGCAAAAAGTGGCAGAAAACAGAAACATACCTGGCAGAGAATGAAGACGAAGAGAATGAAATTGAAGTATGGCACAATAATCGAGAAGACGTCGGAAATAAATTTAAATGCATCTTAGTCCTACTGGTAAAGCTGAGGTAATGTGGCATTGCGTCGCGTGATGTCACAGTCGCACAATGTCCCTTCACTGATGCGGCAATGTGAAACTGCATAACGTACGTCGCTGATGCCACGTGAACATCGCAATCCGTCGCGCGACATTGCATCGTGGGACGTTGCATAGGTCGAGACAGTGCCTCGTGATCTTATGCCGCGTGACACTGTGGCATTGCACGGAGGAATGGACTGATTGGTGGATACCTGGGGCGGGAGGAGAGTGCACGTTGTGAGGTGAGGGGCACCTTGATGGAAGTCTGCACGAAAATCGCAGAATCCCAAATGCTATTCATTACAGCACGTTTGGCCAGAGAGAAGACATAGTTTTGTGTGGCTTTGTAAGATTCTAAAGATACTGCAGCAAATAGTTTTAAGGTGCTACAAACTGGCCAGACAAGAAAAGCTAGCTAGTGCTACCGCAACATCGCCAAGATCCTTGCTCACTTTACTTTTGATGTTTGTTTGATGTGGTGATCGTGATTGAACTAAACAGAAACATCATCATTTTGCTCCAGTTAGAAAATATTAAGCAGTTATTCTGTTTCATGAAGGGAATTAGAAACATTTTCAGAAAATGGTGAAAGGCACTTGCCATCGATGGAACAATAGTAACTTGCATTCAAAGTATCTCATGAGACATTAGCTAAGATTGTTTCTAAAATACAAGTTAGTAGCTCTTTGAAGGGGTTAGGATGTGCCAGAAATAAAATGAGATAACTATATACTGCTAGGACCCATTGTATGTTCCTAGAGTTGCAATAAATTTATTTTGAAAAAAGCGCAATAGTAGTTTGGTGGACAAATGAATTTCGAGGCAAAACCCTCGGATCCGCCCCATTGGAAAAGCCTGCTTTGGTTGTTGGGTCGGTGGTGTCGTCTGTCGCACGCACTCGCAAACTTAGCTCTCTCGGCATCTCGAGCTTCAGCTTCCGCTTTTACCTTCTGCATTTAGAGCATGCGGTTTGTGACAATTCTGTCTACGGCACTGCTCGCTTAGTTTTTTTCCTTTATTTGTTTCCTTAGCAGCAATTAGAGTGATTGTTATCAAAAGATGTTGCAAGCTGGTGTCCAGCTCCAGCAATGACGAGATGGTCCCGGACCAACTCGCCACGGTTGCCGTCGTCTGGGGCGATCTTGCTGCTGCATGCGAGGGGGAAGGTCAAAAGGCTGGTGCGAGATAGCGTTGGAATAACCGAGTTGTGTGAGTGGTAGGTTTTGATTGGCAAGGCAAGCTTGTTTGATCATGGGGACACCTAGAATGATCACATGGTTTATGGGCACCTTGGCGGGACTAGCTTGGGCAGTGCTGCCTGGTCGCTAGATGAAAAGGATCGACATTCGTAAATTGAATATTGACAGTACTAGAGCTCTAAAAATCACTAAGGTTTATGTGCATTAAGTAGCCTATGAGCATTTCATTTCAAGAATAATTTACCCGTTTAATTTTCATGTCCTAGCCTCCTTAATCGAGTTAAACGTAACACAGTGTGCTCAAAAAGAAACCTGCACACTCTTTGATTACTAAAAATAGGAGTGACAGTGAAAACACATTACCGAAATTACCCTTTTTCTTCGTAGAACTCTAGCCATCTATACAGCAAACAGATTCGCTCGTAGACACTCATTAATTCAAAGTCCAGGAAGCCACGAATTTTGTTTGAATTATCAGAAATTCATCTAAATATGATGAGAGATCAAATTTTGATCTGCCACGTCAATAATTACACGTACAAAGGAGGTATTCGATGGTTCCCTTTGCATAGGCCCACTGATCAGAAGCAGGTATGCCACGCATCAAACATTCGTGAAATGTACGACTTAGCTTTTTGTATTACTAAAAAATGTTGCTTCCTGTGGACTGTTTGGACAGCACGCGACAACTCGAAACAAAATTGAGTTTGTTCATCGGACAAAGAAGTTGTCTTATGAACTATTAAGCGGGGGACACGGGAGCGATGAAAACGGTCACCGCACGGCAGTTTTTGTAGCAACTAGCATGGACGCTGTGACATGGACCCATGCAATGCCACCACGTCGGTGTCCGTGCAAGTTGCTCCAGAAATTTCCACGTGGTGCCCGTTTTCACGGCTCATGTGGGCTTTTGTGCACTGCGGAAAAGCAACACCCGCGGAAGCAAGCTTCGCTGGGGTTGTTTCTCTGCGGTGCACCGGTGCTCGGAAAGAAGCGCACTCAACGAAGCCGCACGAACGAAAGTATGAAGTACACGGAAACGCCGTTCGAGTTAAGCGGCTTTAAAACATAGCGGGAAAACCAAAATTATGAATTTTGTTCGAAATAACCGGAAGTATGAAATATCCGCGTTTGAATTATCTCCAGTCTACCGTATTCCTTTGTCTCTTAGAGTTGGATTACATTAAGAATCAGCCAGTTGTGTGCCCTACTTTTCCTTGGTCTACTCGTTTTGCTTTATTCAAATGTTCTCTTTAGTCTCTACCCCTCGCATGTTGGAGGCTGGGTGGGCGTTTGGGAAGGTTCCTCCAAAGGGCTGACCGACCTGCCTCCCTTGCAGCGTCTGCTGGGCAGCCGGAACGGGACGCTCCAGCTGTGGGTCTCCTACCAGCGGGGCGACTTCAGGAGGGCCCTGTTTCCCAACCGCCTGGACCACATGGTCAGCTCCACTTTGCCCTCCTTTGTCTGCCCTTGCTCCCATCACGGCCATTTGTGCCACATTAGGCCAGAAACGCAAGTCTGCTACATCTTGCACCAAAGTGCCAATTTTGCTTAGACTCTTGCACTTGCGGCAAAACACTTGCGCCAAAATGAGCTGTAAGCAAAAAAATTAAAGTCGGTTGACCCTAGTATTCGGAAAAGTAGAAGGAAAGAAAAATGTTAACAAATGTGAATTTCATGGCGCGTCTACTCACTGTATGGTTTGTTTTGTCTTGGGTCAGAGCACAGTCCAAGACTCAAACACATACAACCAGAGATACACATACTAAAAGTGCAAGTCACAGTACATTCGCCATACTGGATTGGTTGAGCTGACGAAAGAACTGGTACGAGGAGATGGTGAATGCCACGACGTCGTGCTTTGCTGCTGCGGATCAAGCGGCCAGAGCCGTCGATGCCGGGCATCAACCGCTCTGGCCGGTTGATGCACTGGCTGGTTGACTGCCGACATGGTCTAAATTTCTAGACGATGTTGTCGACGTTGGGAACTAAGGGTCCCGAGAAAACTTTGCAAAATAGTGGGATGGCTAATTGGGGCTACTGCGATAAAACAGAACCGGGGTCTTGTACTCCTCGTAAGCTTACTCGATTATCATGTCTGTCGCATTTGTTTGTTCCGTGGCTGCAGAGTACCCTGGCACTTGTGCCACTCGCGTCAACCTGTGCATCGAGCTTCGGCGAATGAGCTGGCTTGGCACACAAATTGTGCTCAGGATTATTACGGGTCTTTGTTCTAAGACTTTGGTTTGAGCTAATTGGTTCATGATGATTTAAAAGGTTAAAAGTAGTCTTGTGCGAATAGTGGATTTTGAGTTCAAAGCGAATAGTGGTTTTGTCCGAATATTTTCGATTTGAATATCGAATAGTTTTTCCACGCCTTTCACTACCATTGCACAATGCTTAGACGAAAACCCAGCTAAACTTGTAAAGGTTGTTCCACTTGTTCATTTATAAGCTAAGTTTAATCTATATATATTTATCAGCTGTGACCTTGGAAGGTCTGATGGCTTGGGATGGTAAGTAAATGACAACTTTGACATAAAATGAATCCTATAGAAATGGCCAACTATACCCAACTGAGTGAATTTACAAATCTTAAATATTCTGTCTTTAATTTCGAGTTAAAAAAGAATGAATCGCGCATGATGAACGCTGGTTATAAGGGCATCTCTCCCTAACATATACTCTTGCAAAACAGTCAGTTTAATTTTGAAACTTTTACTAAAATGTAGATACTGTAAAACCCTTAATGTTCGCGAGCCCTTAATTTTCGCGAATATTGCGAATTGAAAAATTCGCAAAGCTTAAGGGCACGTGAAAATTTCGGTCCTTAAAGGGCAACTCCGGCCAAAACTCAAAATGAAATAAATTACTGGTGTCGCTGTAGTGACACAAAATACAACCTCAGTTAAAATATCACGTCCGTGAGACTCCGCTTTCTCAACTAATGCTGATAATGAAAATGCGACCCGCCGCGAGCCGCTGCTCCTTAGCGGGCGGCCAGCGGGTTGCCGATCGCTAAAGCAACATTGGGCCGTGACATCAGTATCATTCTCTTTTTTTTTCTCCGGTCCGGGCGTTGCGCGGAGTGTGCTTCTTTGCTACTCCGGGTTGTGATTGGCGTGTTTAGCCGTTATCTGTAGCCCGTGTAGCTTCGGGTATAGCCTTTTGTTTTATATGCTTGGGAGGACTCCAAGACTCGTTTTAGCGAGCAACCTGGTGCGCGCAAGACTGCCCAGCTGTTCCTCGAAAGATGCCGAGTACAACTTGTAGCGCTGTGGGCTGCTCAAACAACCCGCTGCACAACCCGGAGGTACTTTTTCACGAATTTCCAATGAACCGGAAATTGGAGAAGGTGTGGGTGAACGCTGTTCGACTTTGGACTTCGGCTTTTACGTGCCCGAGGAAAAAAGAACGACAAAACAGACGTGTACAACCCAGCGCACGTGTGTTCGGGTGCCGCGACCCGCGCTGGAGAGCCTCAAAGCTTCGTGTCTGTCTGACCTGCAGCGCGAAAGCGAGAGAGCACCCAGTACTGTACGTCACTGACAGCGCGGCGCAGAGCAACGCTGCTGCATCCACGGAGCCCCGATTACAATTTAGGCCGACGAGTACAGAAGACCGGACGCACGGCGACAGCCGCTGAGTATGGCACCGAACGAGTACACTTGTTTTCCAGTCGCTAGCCTTTGGGTATACAAGCGACGAGAACGGCATAGCGCCCGCACGGCAGCGGCCGCCAAGTACGGCACCGAACGAGTTTCCAGTCGCTAGCTTTTGGGAATACGCACTAACTCGTCCTACATGTGCTGGATAACTACCACGTATACAGAATTAAAACAAAATCAGCTTACCTCCTATCTCTAGACGGCTAGCGCAACAGAGATAGGTGCCGCTCGGCCTGCATACTTCTTGAACAAGAACGATCCTGACGTCAAATTCGCATAGCAGCTGATTTCCAGTGTTGCCGGGGCCTCGAGCGGCTAGTTTCGGTTTTGTTTGCCGCGCCCCAAACACAACTTTGAGGTGTTGATATCTTTAAAACTACGCACAATAACGAGAAAAAAATGACACCTTGCAGTTCAGGGTCGCTGACTGCGCTAAAAACAGTCATAATCCCAAAATCAGAAGTATGGACCGGAGTTGCCCTTTAAGAATGTCAGTGCAGGTCTCTGGAACTCGCGAAATTTTGTGGCCGCGACTATGTCCTCTTTGATTGATTCGCGAAGAATAGGGGCCGTGAAAATGAAAGGTATTACAGTATACACATTCACAAAGTTTCCATTTATTTTCATGTACAGCCGGCACGCACGCACCATCCTACTTTGAATGTACAGTTTTCTTCCAAGCATGCAATTGCGATATTCATACTTTTTCAAGTGTTTATCGCGGCAGGCTACCCCGTTGACTGCGTTTCTTACCGAGAACTGATGTAATGCGGAGAAGCAACACCTGCGGAGTTCGCTTCCGCAGGTATTGCTCCTCCGCAGTGCACCAGTGCTTGGTAAGAAGCGCACTCAACGGGGCTAACCCGCCGCAATCAACACTTCGAAAAACGCGAATAGTGCAGTTCTTCTTGAAGCGAATATCAAATAGTGTATTATTCGAAACTACTATTCAAAATTTCGAATATTCACACAATCCTACTTAAAAGCGCAAAACGAGACAAGGACCAAGAAGAAAACACAAACGCACAGACTGGCGCCAGTCTGCGTCGTGTGCGTTTTCTTCTTCGGCCTTGTCTCGTTTTGCGCTTTTAACCTTTTAATTCTTGGTCGTAATTGCGAGATGGTCTTTAATAAAAAACGTTCAGCCTTTCCACTCTCGTGAAGAAGGAAGACCAGCGGAGCTGTAGTCGATACACTGCTGCAACGCGCACGCACCCGATTCCCGCTTCTCGTCCGACACGCCGCCGATCGTGGATACGTCTCTGGCAAACCAGAGTCGGTCACACACGGCGCACGTGACGCCAAACGGATTCTCCACGAACTCCCTCCGGTGCATCGCCGTCGCGCCCGGGAACTGTTCAGCCGGCGTGGAGTGCAGTTGTCGCCGGGCCTCACTCCTGCGCTTGACCTCCGTGGCACGATCGTCGTCCGTGGCGTTGGCCCGCCGGCGCCCTTTACATCGCTGGTTTTGTTCTCGGCGGTGGCTTTCCAGGCGAGCGATGTGCTCTTCTTTGGCAAGGGAATCTGAAACGCTCGACGCAGTGGAAGTCGAGGTGACAGCGGATTTGCGGCGGTTACGGACCCATTCACGCTGCTGCTTACATCGCCGCTCCTTCTGCAGCCAGTCTTCTTTCCCCGAAAGGGCGCGCGGCTAACCCATCCTAAGTCCAAACCGAAACCGACAAGAGCGTAGGAAACAGCTTGCAAAACAGACGAGGACAAAGAAATTCACGACGAGCGCTGCGCTCGTTACGTGTGCTTCTTCTTTGTCGTCGTCTGTTTTAGAGCGCAGCTCTTAGGGGCCCGTTCCCGGCTTGAGCGGCGTCGCCGTCGGCGTAACCAAGGTCATCCCAAGGTCACCCCAAGGTCACGTGACCCCTTCCCCAAGGTCACGTGACACCCAAAGTCACGTGGCTCCCAAAGTCACGTGACTCCCGGGGTCACGTGACCCCCGATGACGTCATCAGTGACATCACTGATAACGTCACCGGCATCCGCATCGTCATCGTCATCATCACTGATGACGTCACCGGCATCCGCATCGTCATTGTCATCATCACTGATGACGTCATCAGTGACGTCACTGATGACATCATCTGCATCGTCATCGTCATCATCACTGATGACGTCACCGACATTCGCATCGTCATCGTCATCATCGCTGATGACGTCACTGATGACGTCACCGGCATCCGCACCGTCATCGTCATCATCACTGATGACGTCATCAGTGACGTCACTGATGACGTCACCGGCATCCCCATCGTCATCGTCATCATCACTGATGACGTCACCGGCATCCGCATCGTCATTGTCATCATCACTGATGACGTCATCGGTGGCGTCCCTGATGACGTCACCGGCATCCGCATCGTCATCGTCATCATCACTGATGATGTCACCGGCATCCGCATCGTCATTGTCATCATCACTGATGACGTCATCAGTGACGTCACTGATGACGTCACCGGCATCCGCATCGTCATCATCGCTGATGACGTGATATGTGACGTCACTGATGACGTCACCGGCATCCGCATCGTCATCGTCATCATCACTGGTGACGTCATCGGTATCCGCATCGTCATTGTCATCATCATTGATGACGTCATCGGTATCCGCATCGTCATCGTTACTGATGACGTCATCGGCATCGTCACGTGACCCCCCTAGGTCACGTGACCCCCACCCAAGGTCACTTGATCCCCCCCAGTACCCTTCCCTCCTTCTCCTCAAGAGCTGCGCTCTAATTCGGCATTACAGGGAGTTGTAAACGGCTTTCACTTTTTTTTGTTCATGCAGGTTATTTCTTGCGCTGCACCTCGACAACAACACATCGGCAATGACTCCCTTTGATTCTTCACAGTGCAACAACTGAGTGACGCGGCACTTGGCAACGAAGAACGGTTTCCGGTGTGCGCCGCGGCTGATTTCGGTCGATTCCCGATGACGGCCTACGAACACTGGCGTGGCATCGAGATCATCTGCGGCCTACAAAAGGCGGCAACAGTCACTGTTCCGATGGGACATGGAGCCAGTACAACGATGGTAGTGCCGCTCACACAGTTTTAGAGCGCAGCTCTTAGGGGCCCGTTCCCGGCTTGAGCGGCGCCGGCGTCGCCGTCGGCGTAACCAAGGTCACCCCAAGGTCACGCGACCCCCAAGGTCATCCCAAGGTCACGTGACCCCCAAGGTCACGTGGCCCCCAGAGGTCACGTGGCCCCTACCCCAGAATCACGTGACCCCTACCCCAGGGTCACGTGACCCCCAAGGTCACGTGACGCCCAAAGTCACGTGACCACCCCCAGGGTCACGTAACCCCCGCCACGCGATTTCCCCGATGACGTCATCGTCACTGATGATGTCACCGGCATCCGCATCGTCATCATCACTGATGACGTCATCAGTGACGTCACTGATGACATCACCGACATCCGCATCGTCATCATCATCATCGCTGATGACGTCATCGGAGTCCGCATCGTCATCGTCACTGTTGACGTCATCAGTGACGTCACTGATGACATCATCGGCATCGTCTCGTGACCACCAAGGACACTTCACCCCCCCCCCCCCCCCCAGTACCCTTCCCTCCTCCTCCTCAAGAGCTGCGCTCTAATTCTGTGTTACAGGGAGTTGTAAACGGCTTTCACTTTTTTCGTGCTATTTTCTACGATGAATTCCCACCAACGCGCCGCCCAACTATCCATTCTTCTATGATAGCTGGAAAGGTTGGCGCCATCTACGAGCGACGGGGCAACCATACTGGTTGTGTGCTTGGCGCTATCATTTATAGATGGCGGTAGCTTTCCAGAGGCGTTTTTGTCGACAAAGTTCTGTACCGGACACGATCCTCGGGAACCTAGCCCTTAACAGCTCCACTGTAAAAAAAAAACCGACAGAAAACGGGGGGCCTATGTATATTTGAATAAACACTGTAGTCATTGTAGTTCCTGTGCAGCTGTCGATCAAAAGAGCGGCAAACTTTGATGCAACTCTGGTTCCTACTATGCTAAAGAGCAGTGTCACTTTTAAAGCGCGAGTGTAGGCTCTTATAATATTTTTAGGTGGTTGTTTTTGACGTTTATGACATGAGAGTTTTGGGCTTGGTAGGTTCACTAAACTTACGGGACACATTTTTATTGGTAGACACAGAAGCGGATATGCTGGTTTTTGCTGGCATTCTTCAGAAATGCCAGCCATTCAGCATTTCACACTACTTAGTGTAGAATGGAGACAGGAAAGAGGATTTATCCCAATGAAGTGGTTTACTTGTCAAGCATTTTTTTAATGCCCATTGTAAATGAAACCTACTTTGACTAGAGCCTTAATTAAGTCTTCTGAAACAGAGACCGATGTAAGACCCTTGTCTGTATACAAAGAAGATAAAAGGCAGACTGACTGCCTTGGGTGCTCGCGAAACCCAAGCGAGCACTCCGCAGAACCCCTGTGTTCCGTGGAACCCAGTTTGAGAACCCATGATCTAGAGAGTGTTCCCAGAAAGTTTCATTAGCTTACACTGTATAGTTAATTTGTAGGGGCGAAGCTCCTTAGGGTCTAGCCTTGTCCATCTGTCCGGCGTTCGTGCTCACATCGATTGCACTGCCTCCGGGATCGGCCCACTTTAAAAAAAAAAAACGTATGCCCGGGGGGTTCCAACTCGGGACCGTTTGCTTACGAGGCAGACGTTTTTACCACTACGCTACACTCCAACGTTGCAAGTAGCCGCTCAACATCTATGCAGGAGAGGGCGCTGCGGTCAAATGCTTAACTGCGTATGTAACCACAATCCATATCGCACATTCTCTTTCTGACATGAACCGTTGACTTAAGCCGTGAAGATTCGTTCCCACGGCTTCTAGCGGACCCAAGCTGATCCGCTAGAAGAACCACTGGCTCTGCATTTCACCGACCATAAAGCAGCAATAATGAAGTCGAAATGCAACCCGGAACTCAGCCCTTCCTATGAGGAATAAAAAAAAAGAAAATCAGCACCATCAGCATTACCTATGAACAATAAAATCAGTATTATCAGCACCACCAGGAGCTTCGCCCCAAACAACATCATTCACCACGTGGAGATGTGGCCTCTTTTTATAAATTGCTTTTGCTCCTTTGATGCTAAAGAAAAGTTAGAGGTTGGAGCACTTTGAACACATTTTTCTCCATTTCACTTTTTGGCATAAACTTCACTTTAGGAAAACTGTAGTTTTGTTATTACATACCTTGGATTCATTTTTATTAGTTTTTCTGGGGTGAAATTGTAAGGGAAGATAGCTATGAGCTTGTATTTTTTATTTTTGTCATTTTTTATGCTGAAGAACTAAAATTTTGGACAAAGGATGGGAATCTAAAAACTATTTGTGTTTATGTGGCTTTCTTGTCATGAAAGATGGTATAATATAGAAATATAGCTCCACAGCTATCTTTTCTGAACTGTCCTAAAGCAATTTAACACACAAAAACGACAAATTTATAAGTAATTTCAAAACGATCGTTTTTCTACGTAGACCCGCCCACTTTCCTCTTTGTACATTTGCAATTTTTTTTGTACTTCATTCAGGTTAACAAAATTTGCCATTCACTTTTTTGGGTAATGTCCCCCCTTAAGCAGTTTTGTATTAAAAACCAGAGGAGGCGGTGAAGAGCTGCTTGTCGTGAGCTTTGAAATATGAATTTCTTGTTTTATTGATCGTAAGAAATTCGTATTGCATTCCCAATACACATTCATATATACGAAAATGGAATACAAACCATGTTCATTGGATCGTTCAGTCTATTCGCTCTATAGAGTGGTTCTTGCGTTTCTGCAATGCGATTGTAAACCAACATTTTGGCTGAAATCTATTTGCTTTCGAGTAATTTCGAGCAACTCGAAGAATTATTGATTGGAATAGTTTGCCACCTGGTGGCGTAAATACTACTAACTTAGATTTTTGATCCAAGTTATCGCAGCAAGTCCAACCTGCCTGATATTATGTTTTATCAACTGCTGTAGCAATCACGAAAGAGATTAACTGTATTAATAAAGAAAGAAAAAGTAATGTGAAACAGCGGGGCATCTTTTTGTACGTACTAATAGTATGCATAAGTTTGGTTACCGAAGAAACTTTAAGAAGAAATTTATGGGAAGCCATAACCTAGAAACGCTGTACTAACGCGGACTTGGAAATGGGGGCGGCGCTTGGGAGTGGAACCAAGGTATTACCTTTTCCAATTCGAGCCAGTCTTCGGGATTTTTACAGGGTGTCACAAATAAAAATTTAAAGGGTACCTTTCACCGCAAAAATAAACTAGGCATCGCTGAACGCTCATTCTTCGCCCAAAGGTAGCTCTAGGAGTCACAGCCAGATGCCAAAGTTTCAGCCCGACCCAATACCTTATTTAAAAGTTATTGGCGATTTTCTGAAAATTTCAATGGGAAAATGGAGCCCATTGTTGCCTTTCTTCGGTTTCTGGTGCCATAGAGCCCCATGTATTTGAAAACTCTGTCGGCTGCTCTTTTCCGATTGAAAATTTCAGAAAATCACTTATAACTTTTGATTCAGGTATCGGATCAGGTTGAAACTTTGGCATCTAGTCGTGACCTCTAGCGCTACCTTTGGGCGGAGAATGAGCATTTGGCGATGCCTAGTTTATTTTTGCGGTAAAAAGACGCTGTAAATTTTACTTTTTTGTCACACCGTGTAGCTGGATATCTCTGTATTTAAGATAACCAAAATGTGCAACTTTTGCGTTTTATTTGTTGCCGCGTATTTTAGCGACTTTCTGGCCTCAAGAACAGTGGCAAAGGTGAATAAAAGGAAAATGCTCTGTTGGGGAGCTTGTTTGTAACCTCCCGGCAATTGCTGGTCCAGGACTACTTCATTGCCGAGGCGTCGGAGGACCAGCTGTTTGCCTGCGTGATGCACGGCAACTTCAGCCACCTGTACATCTCGGACCAGCGGGGCCTCAAGTTCTCCCTGTCCCTGGAGAATGTGCTGTACCTCAAGACGGACGAGGCCAGGTGACCCTTCCCCCTCTCTGAGGGTTAGCGATCCTTCAAAAATGTGGAGAGTGGAAGGGGCAATAACAGTGCATTTTACACCTTCTTGGAAAGCTTATTAAGCAGTCTCGGGATTTCCTTTGTAAGCAGACAACTTTGCGATTCTTCTTTGCGAGGAAATCCTCGGTCGTCTGGACGACTCTGGTGAGGGAGGGTTCAAGCGGGCAACCTGTGGCGGCCCCACAATCGGCATGTTCTGGCACGCTTTCTTGGTGGCTCCCTGGCACAGGCTGGCACCCTGACTATGCTGGCATGCTCACCAATGAGAAAAAAATGTGTAATTACAGAGTAATCACGAAATGTCTTCGTGATTACTTTGTAATTCCAAGTCGTTTTATTAGAATATTCGGTCAGTTTGTAACATAGGCACGTACGAGTCTATGTTACGAGAGGCATTACCATAATATGCCAAGTCATCGCCCATCCCCGAGTCATCGTCCATCCCACTCTTTGGGCAAATTTCGATTTTTTAAAGAAAATAGAGTGATTGCCCACCCTTAGAAATACCTCAACACCTACTCCGTAATCCGTCATATAGTCCTGAAGAGTAGTGCGGCTGAACTTGCAGAGGGAAGCCGAACCGCAATAGCCTCTTGTGGAGCTTGGGTCAAATCAGAAGGTTGCGGGTTCAAATCGTGTCCGCGTCACCACTTGTGGGGAAGAAAGAGCCAAGGCATCCGACCTGTTTGAATCCTCAAGCATTCTCTGTCTCGAGGCGTGCGTATACTAGCTCGCGCCCCGAGAACGTCATCTTTTATTTCTTTTGATTGTTGTTTCTGTTTGGATCTGTGTTACCACAGCACCAAACAAGAAAGTGGCACAAGAGCCTGCTCTAGGGAACAGCTTGAACAGTAAACACTTGCACACACAGGACAGGACATTCACAGAGCTGACTATCAAATCTTTAATACTTCTTCCTCCTCCTCTTCTTCGTGTATATGTGTAAGTGTTGAAGCCGTTTCCTCATAGACTAACTAGCTCAACTCAAACCGGTTATATAGAGCCTGCTTCTAGTGATTGACTAGGACTTGGCCCGACGGCAAAGTTTTTGCCAATGCGATTGGTGAATTCCTTGCTTCCCCAGCATTGCTCGTCATCGCTTCTTTCGCTCGCTGCTTGTGCCTGGATATTTTTGTTTTTAGAGAGCAGCTGTTAAGGGCTAGTTTCCCCAGGATCGTGTCCGCCAGCAAACAAATGATGACAGAAAACTTTGGACAGCTACCGCCATCTGTGAGCAATGGCGGCAACCAGAAAACCGGCTTGCGGGCTGTCTGGTTGGCGCCGTCGCTCATAGATGGCAGCAACCTTTCCAGTCTTTCCACTTTGGCTTGCCAACTTGCGGCTGGTCATTACTTTCTTGGTCCTCGCCTGTTTTTTTTCCTACGTTTTTACGAGTTGCCGTTTGGACTCGCAATGGGTTGGCCACGTGCCCTTTTTTCGGAGGAAGAAGAGCGGAAGGAGCAGTGATGTGCGCGCAAATGGTTCTGCAATTGCTGCAAAGCTGCTATCGCCTCAAGTTACACTGCGTCGAGCGCTTCAGATTCTCTTGCAAAAGAAGAGCAGATCGCTCGCCTGGAAAACCACCGCCGAGAACAGAAGCTACATCTCCGCTGCTCTTCCTTCTTCACCAGAGTGGAAAAGCTAAAGTGTTTTTTTCTCTGGTAGAAGCGAGCGAGTTCAACGTGAAAATCGAAAGAATAAAACACATAGGTCAAGCTGAGGTCAACCACATTTTTTCATTAAATGAAAGAATGTGGTTGCCCTGTGCTTGTCCTCCGTGTATTATTCTTTAGGTTTTAAAAATATTTTTTTTCTCCATGACTTTTTTCTAACGAAGGGAGCATAGCAGTGTTAGAAATGCGCTTTCACAGAACAAACGTCCTATGCCGATCGGCGTATGTGCGTATGCAAGCAACGGACTTTGCGATAGTTAAACATCTTTTCATGAGCATTTCTCGCATAAAACGATACAACTAAATTGAGTTTTGAGTTGAATGCATCTCTCGTGCAGCCGCGCTAGGTATGTACAGAAAAATGGGCACTTTTATCCCTTTTTTAGAACTTTTTGTAGCTACCCACCGAGACCTTTTCTAGGAATTTCAGGTGGCGGGGGGGTGGGCGACGACTCGGAATATTACGGAATCTTCGGGGCTGGTTAATTGGAATAATTTTTTTATTTGCTGGAGAACAAGTCCGGTAATTCCGGCAGCATGAAAAAGCCTGGCGATTATGCTGACGAGCTTAAATTACACGCACGCTGAGGTTGTCTTTTTTTATCTACCCTGTGCGCCATCAGGAAAAGGAGCGTGGAGCAGCACTAAGCCGGCGGCAGCCAAGTTAGCAGGCCTAGTCGGCTATGGGGCCGAGCCTAGCCGTGCCAGCGTGGTTGCAGGCGCACGCATTATGGTGTCGTCCCCGCAGAAGTTGCAACTACTTTTATGTGCCGTACGTGCGTAGGGTCAACAAAACTTGGTTAGAGGCGTTGCCCAGGTCTACGAGGTCCATCGAATGCTAACAAGAAACGTGCCGTGGCCCACTTTTGGACATTGAAATTGTGCAGTTTGGCATTGCTCTTTTTTTCGAGAAGCCGAGCGCCGCCGTTGCAGAAATTGACGCAGTGCCACGGAATAGTTTCTCTCGCTTCGTTTGGCAAAGAAACTGCCGAACAAAGAAAAAAAACTTGCGGTTCGCGCATTTTTTTTTTTTAAATTCGAAGTTGGTGTAATTCTAAGTGCCCCAGTGAGCTTGGAATTATCGAGAGTCGATGGTACGAAATAGTGCTGCGGGATTCCCAACCCGAATGGGGTTGCGCCAGAGAGACGAGGGAGGGTGTTTGGGGGCAGGGAGGAGGCGCTGCTGGACCTGCACCGAGTGCAAGGGGTGCGGGGCGTCTACATCGCCACCCGGGTGAAAAGCCGCCCCACGGACCTGGAGGGCCAGGTGTCCGTCATCAGCTTCGACAACGGCGGCTCCTGGCAGCCCTTGGTGCCGCCCAGCGTCCACCACGACGGCACGCCTGTCCACTGTGACCCGGTAGGTGGACCCTCTAAGCCTCACTGCCCCCTGCCACTTGGGGGATGCCTTTCAGGCACTGTCTTGGACTGTCGGTTTTAGAGCCACCAGACGGTGAGCATTTGTTTCAATGGCTCAGTGGGAAAATTCCCTCGCTAAATTTAATGCATCATCCCCCAACTGAGAAAGCCCAACTTGCCGTATATTTGTCACATTTTGGGACGCCTGACATCATAGCCGCATAAAGTCTCGTCTCGCGCGTTGTCGCGTCAACCTTATACTGACCTTTTGTAACGCTTAATTGTTCAACGTGGCATGACGGACGCCATCCCTGCCTTCCGTCGCATCCCGTCACATGGTCTAGTGCTTGGCGGGCAAAAGCGTTTTATCACCTTGCTTTTAAAGTGTCTGACAGTTGGGAACTGCCCTGGAGAGTTTATTCTTCCCAGGCTTGCCACCAAGCGTGCACGATGACAAGTTTGCCACTTCCTGCCTAAACACGAGACTGCTTGCGACCCGGGAGGTGCTGCCATCTCTTTCATGTTTTAGAACTTTAGTGGTTAATGTGAAAGCATCCCACGGAGAGAACCGACGTCATCAGCTTAGAAACCAGGCCAAACGTCGGCCAAACGGCATTTACAGTCAAACCTCAATATATCGAACAGGGATATGTAGAATTATTGCCTATATCGAACGCTTTCTATATCACGCGGAAAATCGCGTGCATTTTTTATTTTTTATTTCGAACAGGGCATAAAATGGATATACCAAACTCTGCCACCCCAAGCAGCCCGCACTCTTTTGACAGGCGGCGAGCTTTCCCGCAACACCCTCGAAGATAGCGGTGGCGCAATGGGCGCTTCCGACCTACACACACGCCGAGGGTGCCATTTGAACGCAGCGGCGCGCGCACGCCGCTGCATGGATAGTTTGTCGCAACGTCAACGACGCAACGCATTTGCTGCACCGACTCCTCGTCCTCGGTATTATCGGTAGTGTCGGTAGTGCTACGCATGTGATCGTAGTTCTTTCGTGTGTCGTGTTGCCTTGCGTGAATGATGGCTCCAAACGCTAAAACCGGACATCCCTGACATTTGCTGCAAAACTGGAAGCTATCCAGAGGGTTGAGAATGGAGAAAAAAAGTCGAGCGTCGCCGAAGCTTTAGGCCTACCAAAAGCACTTTGAGTACTCTACTGAAAAACAAGAGTGACATAAAGGCCAAGGCAGAACAGAACCAGCACTCAGGCGCGCAGCGTGTACGCAAAGCTGCCTTTGCAGATATTGAGAAGTCGCTGCACAAATGGTTCATCGACGCAAGGGCCCGGAATATTCCTGTATCCGGACCGATGTTACAACAGGTGGCCAAGACCTTTGCATTCATTCTCGGCGCCGAGAACTTCAACGCCAGTAGCGGTTGGCTGCAACGGTCTTAAGGCCCGCTTTAACATTGTCGGGAAGACAGTCTCGGGGCAAAGTCTCGGGGAAAGGGGATTGTACAGTCGAACCTCAATGAAGAGGAAATCAAGAAGTGGCTTGATCCAGAGTGGCCCCAGGTTCTCGCCAAGTACGAGCCGCACCAGATATTTAATGCGGCTGCATCCGCCTCTGCGGTCGGTCGGCGCGCATGTGCCGCCTGTCGGCGCTTCGCTTAGCGCGACAGCCACGCGCTTTTAACAAGTTTTTGACGCGTTTTTGATGTGATTTAATATATCGAATTCTGGCTGTATCGAACTATTTCGGCATCACCGCACAGTTCAATATATCGAGGTTCGACTGTACAATCCCCTTTCCCAACGGAGCAAAGGGAAGCCAATTTCTGGTGAATTATGCTCTCATACGCTGGCATGCGTCATCAAGGAATGAGGCTGCCCTTGGCTCTCGTGTTTTACCCTGTTTGCACAATTGTAGCCCTCCTATTGGAACTCGCAAATATATTTAGCGCTCAAACATTAGAAAAATAACTCTATGCCGATTGTACCGCGCAGGTAAAAAAATGGAAGGCTGAACAGGTACCTCATGTAATAGAATTTACCAAATTCGCACCAGAGCAAAAATAAATACCGTGCACTACCGTTAACTACTCGCAGAATGAACACACTTTTTTTTCCGAAAAATTGATGCAAAGTTGGGGGGGCGTTCTTTACGCGAAGTAAAATTTTAGCGTCCGTATTTACTCGCATAATGAACGGATCTTTTATCCTGAAAAATCGACGTATTATCTCTTTGCGCGTGGCGCGCGACCCGGTAACCAATCTGGGCTGTGCAAAAAATAAAGCAAAAAAAAAAAGGCTCCATTTTTTTTTTCTTACTTCCTTGGGTTGTCTTTTTTTTTTTTTTGCCACCTTTCGCAAATTGTTTTGTTTGCTTAGGCGAGAGCTTCCCTGCTTCTCTTTCTTACCTCCTTGCATGCTGCGCCCGACGCGAATAACCAAACTGCGCTGTGCAAAAAAAAAAAAGAAAAGCTCCTCTTTGTTTTTTTTTTCTTAGTTCCGTGGGCTGTTTTTTTTTTGCTGCCTTTCGCAAGCTGTTTCGTTTGCTGAGTCGTTGCTTAGGCGAGGGCTTCTCCGCTTATCTTTCTCATCTCCTTGCGTGCGCGATCCCAAAGTCCAAACTGCTCTACGAAAAAAAAAAACAAAAAAAACATCCTCCATGTTTTTTTTTTCCTTGCTTCCGTTGGATCTTTTTTTATTTTTTTAACGCCTTTTGCAAGGCGTTTTGTTTGCCCACACTGCCCGTGCATTCGCGACCTCGCTGCACCCGGATAGAAAAGTGCGTTCATTTCGCGCGCGTGGGGGAAAGGGGTCAAAATTTTGTTGTCGAGTTGGGGGTGCGTTTAATACGCGAGTGCGTTCATTGTGCGAATAAATACGGTAGTCGCCGTTGTTGGAGTCTGACGATGGTTCTTCCCTGTCCGCAAAGGCAATCCTGTCTTCCGTCTAAAGCATCCTAGGTGCGGCACTTCTCGTGCGTGTACGAGCGCGCGACCGTCACCTCTGAGAAGGTCGTCTTCCAAACAACTTTGCAAGCTCGTCGGGTCGTTGGGATTGCTAGGCCATGCAGTGCTGCTCTGCTGTTATCTTTTCCCGCCAGCAAGATGGCCTTTCGTTTAAATAATGCCTCCTAGTCAAATTTCTTTCCTAATGCACATGATATGGATACCAAAATGGTGAATGTAAACGAATGGACACAATGGCGATGGGGCTAGCCACCGTATGTGAGTATTGTGTGTTTTTTAGGGGCGAAGCTCCTTAGGGTCTAGCCTTGTTTGGCGTCCGTGCTCACATCGATTGCCATCCCATCTGTCTTCTTAAAAAAAAAAAGAAATGTTTTCGCAGTCGACAGGACTCGAACCTGTGGGGGGAGACCCCAATGGATTTCTAGTCCATCGCCTTAACCACTCGGCCATGACTGCGGGACGAGTAGGGGGCTCTGAGATGTGGTAGTAACTCAAGAGCTGGGGATGTCATGGGTGAAACGCTGCATGTTTCCGCTCAACGTCTATAGAGGAGAGGGCGCTGCGGTCAAATGCGTATATAATTGCGTTAAACTTTGCATGCATTGGCTCAACATTTATAGACGAGAGGGCGCTGCGGTCAAATGCTCAAATGCGTATATATAACCACGTTTCATACCACACATTCTCTTTCTGACATGGATGAAAACGAACGAAAACCTCGGCATGCTGCGGCTCAGCGTCTTCGCAGACAGCAAACTACTCCGGAGAGGATAAAAAAAAAATCAGCACCATCAGCACTACCTATGAACAAAATCAGTGTCATCAGCACCAACAGAGCTTCGCCCCAGTCAACATCATTCACCTCGTGGAGATGCGGTCATTTTTCTTTTTAGTTTTTATTTTTGGTTTCGATTGTAACGCACATTTAACCTTGGCTACCGATTTTGGCGAAAAAAAGTGTGCGTTACAATCGTGCAAGCGCGGTAGGGCAAAAAACGTGCAGGGCAAAAAAAAAAAACCGCATCTCCGCGTGGTGAATGATGTTGAATGGGGCGAAGCTCTGGTGGTGCTTGTCTGCGTAGACGCTGAGCCGCAGCATGCCGAGCCTTTCGTTCGTTTTCGTCCATGTCAGAAAGAGAATGTGTGGTATGGAACGTGGTTGTATACGCAGTTGAGCATTTGACCGCAGCGTGACATGGATGAAAACGAATGAAAGGCTCGGCATGCTGCGGCTCACCGCCTACGCAGATAAGCACCACCAGAGCTTCGCCCCAATCAACATCATTCACCACGTGGAGATGTGGTTGTTTTTCTCCATATCTCATATTTTATTTTAATGAGCCTATTTCGTTAAATTCAGTATTTTTACTTAAAATTTTATTTATTTAATGTGGTTTATAAGATTATTTTGTGAGAAAAAGTTGCAACTCTCAATAAAATGGTCTGGCCACTCTTGCAACGGTCCGAAACTATATTGAACCTGTCCGCCGAAGTTTGGCCGTCCTTCTGAAATTTTCCGGAACCCACTTTCGGGGTATCATTTTAGGAAAAAGTTTTGCTCCATTGCCTTCTAGTTGCGGGAGGGACGTGGGAAGGGTGGGGCCAACCAGGGAGACCCCTTTGTGTGCAGGGCCAGGGCTGCTCCCTGCACCTGAGCCAGAAGTTCGGCCTGCTGTACGGAGGCACCCGCAGCCCCACCATCTTCTCCAAGGAGTCGGCTGTCGGCCTCATCTTGGCCTCGGGTGAGCGTTCAAGGGACGTCTGCCACTCTCAGCGAGTGGACGGCCATCGCCGCCACCCGGTTATACGCTTGCACGCAACGTTGCCGGCTCAGAAGCTCCTCCGTCACGGGTAGTTTTGAGGGTGAAAGAGGACTATAATGCAGATTTGTGGGACGAAACGAACGAGCGATAAACGAGCAAACGAATTGACAACTTGGGATCAAAAGATTGCGAGCCCACGCTCAACTAGTGCGCCCAAAGGAGACTCGTGAAGCGACGGGTATTGAATTGCGCAGGATTTACTTTGTCCACCGACACTTCACGGTCCCGCCGCCGTAAAGGAATTTCGCAGCTTCCAGAGCGCTTTGGAAGGTATGCCGTAAGGGCTTGGGGATTTTCAGAATGCCTCGCGAGAGGAGTGCACTGAAGGGGCCAATGAGAAGCCAAGGAAGAGATGCATTTTTCTAGGGAGGCGAGCTGTACTCGTTCTGCTACCACTGGATGCCGAGTAAGGGAAAGAAGCAACTTTGAAAGGTGACGTCGACTAACACCTCGAAAACACAGCCTCGTGTTTTTGTAACTTGTCCGTGCTTATCTTGAAAGTTTTCAAAAATTTATTGCTTACAAATGCTGTGAGCTGGCCCAAAAAGGAGTTGGCCTAAGCGGGAAGAAAGCTGCATGGGGACAAATATTTCCTCCCCGTGAGATTTTTCTTATTCGGTTTTTCTCGGTTTCGATAAAATTGCCTCGGGGGTTAATTTTTGGGGTTTATCCCTATTTACCCTAATTGTAATCTTGTAAAGTATGTTGATAGTTGGTGCACATTTAGGTACAAAATAAAACAGCTGGTAAGACACGGGGACAAGAGAGTAGACGGGGGCGGATTATAATCTCGGTTTCCAGCTCGGAACTGCCGAGAGTTCGGCGGGCGACTGCTTCTCGTTCTTGGCGTCAAACCCAGTGATGTGATTGCTGCACCAATTGCGCCAAACTGCGCCAAAAAGCTAACCCTGATACATCCTGCTACATTTTGCCGAAATATGGGTAATCTGCGCCAAGCCTGCGCCAAAGGACCAATTTTGGTCAACTTTCAAAACCGAAACTAAGTTGAGTACCGTGAGCTAGGTGGTGCAAGCAACCACCCGGCACTGAACCTAACACAAACTACCTTTCGTTAGTCGTCCATCTGGTCCTGCATGGCAGCGGTTTTTCCCGCCGTCTCTCGTTTCACACTCTCGTCATCTCGTGGGTGTCGTCTAGCATCTTTTTTTAAATTTTTGCAACGATAGATGCAAGCGTGTGCGGACGCTCCGGCGCTAGCGTGCCGAGTACCAGCCATGCCGTCGTGTTGTGAAATGAAACCACGTTTTTGCGCGGCGGAAGTTATTTTGTGAGCTGAAACACACTCCTGAAAGCAACGGCCGTGAGAAAACCATATTTGGTCCCTGCGTATGCCAGTCACCGTGTTTGCATGGCGTCGGGTGTTGCCGTCCCCACGTCGCTGCAGATATTGCGCTTTCTAAACTGAAACGTAAGAACTGCCGCAAGGTCATCAACATTCCTCTTGTTTAAATCAAACGCTGCTGCAAAAATTCCTCTTTAAATCAGAGTGTTGTGTCGAAGTAGTGATTATCTAGGTTTCTCTCGGTGGGCTTTCTTTTGAGAGGGACCGTTGTACATGAAAAGTTTGCCGTGAAATAAAGTGGGTGAACAGAAGTTATCTAAAGCGAAAAAGTCAATGTCTGCACGCTGAACCCGGACAACACGCTTGTTTGTCTCAAGCTCAGTTGTTGCACAAAGCGCTCCAAGAACTTCTTGACTCTGACTCACAGTGTCTTGCATCGATACGCTCAGGTTTTTTTTTTCTGTGTGTTTAGCTTGTACCTTGGCTGCCGGCCTGGCAAACACGCACCACTGGACTGTTTTCTGTCGTATGCTGGACCATTACATTTGGCATACAATTTTGGGAACCAGTTCGCGACGGAGCGGAGTGGCATGGTTTCGGTTTTGATCGAACAGCAGTCTCTGCTCGCACGACGATGCGCGTGCAACTGCAAGCTGCTGAAGTTGTCCTCACGTGCATGCGAACATGATTGCATGACAGAGGCACCAGCCGGGACGCTTGCAATCTATTGCTTTACATTTGATTGCTTTTGACAAAAATCTGGCACGTCGGGAACCAGTAAAACGGTGGCAAGCGGTTTTTTGGAATTGCTCGGCAACGCCTACAGCACTGAACACTTGTGGGATATCTGAATGTCTCTTTGGAGACATTGAAAGTGGATATTCATTACTTGCCGAAGGCAAAGCGAGGCTTATCTGAATGTCTCTTTGGAGACATTGAAAGTGGACATTCATTACTTGCCGAAGGCAAAGCGAGGCTTGCAGCAGCTTTGCAGAAAGTTTCGAAAAGCAAAAGGAGAAACACCCGCTAGTCGTACAACACCTTTTTCTTGTGTACAGTTTCGCAATGCACTGGAGTAGTTACACGTTTCATCAGTCGGAGACTGCCTCAATTTATTATATACCTAGTTAACTTTATGCTTTCATATTTACTAATAAGCTGGTCATTTTCAAATAAATTTAATATGCGCAGTTTGGTTCTTATTTCTCTATAGTGGGTAGATATATATGTATCATTTAACTGAAGCATCGCAACATGTCATATCATTGATATTTCAGCTAGCATGTTGAAAGGGTCCTAGGTAGCCTAACTTGATCATAATTTGTTTATTGTGGCGACCAAAGTGTCCCTCATTTGTCCAGCACTTAAAACAAATATCTTTATTTTTCTAAGAATATCTGCTCCAAAATCCACCTTAGGGGTTTCCGAAACACTGTTTTGGTTGCTCCAAACATCACGTTTACTGCTCCAAAACACTGTTTTGGCTGTTCCAAAAGCCACTTCTGCTGCTCCAAAACACTGTTTTGGCTGCTCCAAAAGGTGCTCCAAAACGGCTTAGGCCAATCACATCACTGCAACCCTCAAACCGGCACGTCCGGTTTCAGCCTGCGTTAACTTCAGCAGACAGTATTGGGAAGTTTAGTTGGCTACTGCTGGCTTCGGTTGCTGCACCCGCGTGCTCGTGTATTCACGTTTGATGAGAGTTTATCGTGCGGAAAGAGTCCATGGTGCGTACTTGGACTCTCGCTCCATGTGGGGAACGTGAACAAAAAGTTTGAAATAAAGGCTCGATGCAGATGGCTGATTTTCTTCAGCTTCCAATGTTTTGATTAGCTTTACACGAACATTTTTAGCTCAGAGTTTGGACAAAGTTTCTTTTTACTACATCACGAGACTAAACTACCGACAAGGCCATTATTTTTATGCAGAATGTGTTTTGGGGGCTAGCTTCTAACTCTGAAGTGCCACCAAAGGTTGCAATGAATCGCATAAATAACAAGACCAGGTTTCTTAGATTAAAATTGCCTTGTCTCTCGGTGGGAATGGAACCAACAAACTCCCGGTCAGTAGACCAACGCCGTACCTGTGTGCTACCAGAGTGGTTAAGAAAAGTGCTATTTCAGCTGCCGTATATGTGCCCGTGTGACCGAAAAAAATTGTTTTACTAGGCGCAAACAGTCAGGGGCTCCAGCTCTAATCAGCTGCGGCGGCTCGTCACTGCACTGTGGCACCTGGAAAGAGGATGCAGTGGTGTGATTGCTGTGCCAATTGCGCCAAACTGCGCCTAGGGGCTACCCTGCTACATCCTGCTACATTTCGCAAAAATATGGGGTAATCTGCGCCAAGCCTGCGCCAAAAAAACAACTACACTGAGAACCGTAATTGAGTATGCGTGAGCTAGGTGGCGCAAGCGGCCGCCCGACACAAAGTACCCCGCACCAATTGTCCATCCGGTCTTGCATGGTTTTCCCGCCGTCTCGCGTTTTTTTTTTTTTTTATATTTTCGACGATAGACGCGGGTGTGTGCAGACACTCCAACGCTAGCGTGCCAGATACCAGCCATGCCGTCATGCTGTGAAACGAAACCATGTTTGTGCGCAGCGGGTGTTACTTTGTGAGCTGAATCACTCACTTCTGAAAGCAACAGCCGTAAGAAAACAATATTTGGTCCCTGCCTTCCAGTCACCGTGGTCGCCCGACGTCGGGTGTTGCCGTCCCACGTCGCTGCAGATATTGCACTTTCTAAAATGAAACTAAGTACCGCCGCATGTTCATCAACATTCCTTTTGTTGTTTAAATCATACGTTGCTACAAAAATCTTTCTTTAACTCAAAGACTGCTCTGTCGAAGTATTGATTACCTAAATTCCTCTCGGTGGGCTTTCTTTTGAAAGGGACCTCGGTACGTGAAAAATCTGCCGGAAAAGAAAGTTGGGGGAGAGAAGTGAGTTAAAACAAAGAAGGCAATGTCTGAACCCGCTCAGCGCGCTTGTTTGTCTCGAGTTCAGTCGTTGCACAAAGCGCTCCAACAACGTTTTGACCCTGGCTCGCAATGTCTTGCATCAATGCGCTAAGGTTTTTTTTTGTGTGTGTGTGTGTTTGTGTGTTTAGCTTGCATCTTGTTTGCCGGCCTGGCAAACACACACCGTCGGACTTTTTTTTTTTTGTATGTTCGACAGTTACATTTTGCATACAATTTTGGGAATCAGTTGGTGACAGAGCAGAGTGGCTAGTTGCGGTTTCGATCGAACAGCCATTATGTCCGCTCGCGCGACGAAGCACGCGCAAGCAACTACAAGTCTGCCGAAGTTGCCCTCACGTGCACGCAAACATGATTGCACGACAGAGGCAACAGCCAGGACGCTTGCAATCCATTTTACGTTTGCTTACTTTTTACGAAAATCTGGCTTGTCTGGAATCAGTAAAACGGTGACAAGCGGTCTTTCATAATTGCTAGGTAATGCCTACAGCACCTTACACTTGTGGAATGTCTCAGCAGTAAAAACACAGGCAGCGAGCTCCGTTACAACACGTCGCATCAGAACACAACGCAAAGTTGTACGTTTGTACAGCACATAAAACAAATACTTTTATTTTTCTAAGAATATCTGCTCCAAAAGCTACTTCTGCTGCTCCAAAACACTGTCTTGGCTACTCGAAAACCCACTTTTGCTGCTCCAAAACACTGTTTTGGTTGCTCCAAAGGCTACATTTGCTGCTCCCAAACACTGTTTTGGCTGCTCCAAAGGTGCTCCAAAATGGCTTAGTCCAATCACATCACTGAGGATGTCTCAAACGCGACTTTACCATGTAGAAAAAGCAGAGGAGGATGAAGAGAAAGACCAGAGAAAAGAAGATCAAACAAAGAACAATAAGAAGTAAAACTTCCAACCTTTCCCCTCTGGTGAAGAAGGAAGACCAGCGGAGCTGTACTATGGTGGGACGACCTCAAAGGCGACCTCTTGGACGACCCCAAGGACGTCGCCTAGAAGGCGACATCTAGTACGACCTCAAGGACGACTTTTAGGACGACCTCGAGGACAACGTCTAGGACGACCTCAAGGACGATTTCTAGGACGACCTCGAGGATGACCTCTCGAACGACCTTAGGGACGACCTCGAGGATGACTTCTAGGACGACGTCTAGGACAACCTCAAGGATGATTTCTAGGACTACCTCGAGGAAGACGTCTAGGACGACTTCTAGGACGACACCTAGAAGACGATGCCTAGGGCGACCTTTCAGATGACCTCTAGGACGACTTCTAGGACGACCTCTCAGATGACCTCTAGGACGACTTCTAGGACGACTTCTAGGACGACGTCTAGGACGACTTCCAGGACAACCTCGAGGACGACACCTAGAGAACGACACCCAGGTTGACCTCGTACGACGTCGAGGACGACTTCTAGGATGACGCAATATACAAAACACGAAGAAAGGGAAGGTCATGTGGCCCTCACGAGCAGAGATGCGGGACGTTGAGAGCTGGTTTCACTAGCGATTCTCAAACAAGAGTGTGTTCAACTGCTCACCCAGTGTACGCGTTTATGGGTGCCATTACATTGCAAAAATTTTGCTGTTGGTCTGTGGTGCTACGGGTGGTTTTTCAATGGAACTCCGGTTATGAACAGTCCTGGAGAAGCTAGAATATTTTACGCGAAGAATAGTTTTCTTTAGACATTATTTTTGTTTTGACAGGATAAGTGTTTTTTAAACGGGTGTATAATCTACCATCTCTTGTACCTCCATTAAATTGCAAATGCTCTTCATGATTTGAGTTGAGAACACTCTTACCTGAGGCTCTCTAGGCACCACTGGAGTATCACATGATCCTCCCCGGTTGATTTTGTGCAGGTAGGAAATCCACGTGAATACGGGTGCAAAAATGCCAAATGTAAATAAACGGTCACAATGGCAGTGGGGCTAGCCACCTTGTATTATGTTTTTCTTTTGAGTTTCAGTTTTAGGTTCCGATTGTAACGCGCATCTAGTTTTAGGCACCGATTTTGGCGAAAAAAAGTGTGCGTTACAATCATGCAAACAACATACTCAAAATTCTCCCTACCTTCAGGCGGCCTATCCGTCTGTCCATGCTGAAATCCATAGAAGTGGCGTGACCCCTTAGAAACATCCCAAGGCAGGCGCCGTCGGCGACGTTTAATGATGATTTGCGGCTCGTCCCTTGAAATCAGGTGGTCCCACAGTGCCTGTGAAATCCCCTTGGCTGGAACCAGCAAATTTTCTGCTTTCTCTCGGTCGACATTCTTCTTGGCCCTCCATTGGCACGGAGACGGCGGGCAGAGGGGTCTCAAAGCCAAGTGCCTTTGTAAAAACGCCCGGTTTTGCTCGAGTGGCGACATCTCGGCCATTTTTTGTACCCAATTGTTTTTTTGTCTTTTGAAGTGTGCGCAAACAGGCGTGACTCCTATCCAGCACGTAGCCTTGGCTAACGCTTAGACGCCATTTGAACGCACACAGAATGAGTGCGTGTCACGCACTGGCCCGCTTGGTGCAACTTCTCGGTTGAGGGTTGAACTACTGTGGTTAGAGAAAATTGACTCGTGGCCGTGCCAGTTCTCATCAAACCAGGCAAAAAGCTAAAGTTTTCGGCCCAGCGCAATGCCAACGCCGTAAATGCGGCCCGTAGCAGCTATGGCTGTAACATAAAATCGTACTCGGGTTTGATATTGTGGCCCGCAACTTTCTCAAGCAGCCAGCGAAAGCATAGGGCGCGTGCAAGCTGAAAATTTCCAGCCTCCAAGCGTGCCGCTTGGAGGCTGGAAATGTAGCTCGACAACGACGTGGCGTAGCATTTGAGCGTCGTCGGGCTTACAGTCTCTGGGTATTTCTCTCGGTATTCCTCCTCAATTTATCCGCTCATCACTCTCCTACAAATGCACGCTAGTTTGGTGTTATGGAGCGGAATTTCCCTCTTCCGAGAGGAATGCATTGTGAGGGCCATCCTAGGAAGGAAACCAAGGTTTTGGCCGGGATCGGAGTGAGTGGGATTTGAAGAAGCAGCTAAAGTATATATCTGCTGCCGTCATCCTCCTCTCAATGACCACAGAAATGGGTTGCTTTTTCTGTAGCGTTGCAGGTTCTTAGGTTTAATCTGCCTTACTGTGGACCCCTCCTTGCAGGCGTCATAGGGACGTCTCTCAAGGGCCACCCCAGCCTCTTTGTCTCCAACGACGGCGGCCTGACCTGGCACGAGGTGAGTGCCCTCCGTCGGGAAGGCTGCCCGTCGGGTAGCCCGGGAACAGGTAGGAACTAGACGGGTGTCTGCGTGCTCGAAACGCGAGAAATGGCTGTCCTTGTCCTAATTATTTGGAGCTCGTCATCGAAGAAGGAGCAGATTGGACGTGGACAGTGTGTAAGCGGTTGCCACGCAGTTGGTGGCACCCTAGTGTGCGTAAACGGGTAGTGTGACCATTTCTGGAAATCGTCGAAACATTGCCACCAATCTGCGCTCCCAAATCCTACGCACAAGACTCGGAACAATGACTCTGTAAATCGCGTAGGAAACACCAGTTTGGCAAAAGCTTAATGTTCAGATTTTTGGCAAAAGCTTGATCTTCAGATTCTCTCAGTAGGTCAACATATTGTTTGTGGTTGGGAAAATCTGACATCAATAATATGGGGAGAAAAAAAATATGCGAGTGTGGAATGCAAATTCACAACCTCGGTTTCTCTCGGTGGGCTTTCTCCCGACAGGGACCCCAGTACGGGAAAAATCTGCCGCGAAAGAAAGTTGAAGAGAAGTGAGCCAAAGCAAAGAAGGCAATGTTACACTCTGAACCCGCACAGCGCGCTTGTTTGTCTCAAGTTCAGTCGTTGCACAAAGTACTCCGAGGACTTTTTGACCCTGGCTCGGGATGTCTTACATCGATGTGTTCAGGTTCTTTTATTTTTTTGTGTTTAGCTTGTACCTTGTTTGCCGGCCTGGTAAGCACGTGCTGCTGGACACAATTTTGGGAATCAATTGGCGACGGAGCGGAGTGGCATGGTTTCGGTATCGATCGAACAGCCATTGTCTCCGCTCACGCGACGAAGTACACGCAACTGCAAGCCTGCCGAAGTTGCCCTCACGAGCATGTGAACATGATTACACGACAAAGGCACCTGCCAGGACGCTTGCAATCCATTGTTTTACGTTTGCTTACTTTTGACGAAAATCTGGCACGTCGGGAACCAGCAAAACGGTGGCAAGCGGTTTTTTGGAATTTCTCGGCAACGCCTACAGCACTGTACACTTGTGGGATGTTTAGGCAGTAAAAACGCAAGCAGCAAGTTCTGTCACAACACGTCACATCAGAACACAACACAAAGTGCCCTTCGTTTGTGTTGTGTTCTGATGTGACATTCTGATGTGATTAGAAAAACAAATATTTTTATTTTTCTAAAAATATTTGCTCCAAAAGCCACTTTTGCTGCTTTAAAACACTGTTTTGGCTGCTTCGAAAGGTGCTCCAAAATGACTTAGGCTAATCACATCACTGATAAGAAATAAACTTGTAAAAATAATAAATATGAAATAACAAAATGAAATAATAAAAAAATTATACATATAAAATAAAAAAATAAAAACAAAACAATACATTAGGAATACTTGGAAGAGAGAAAAAAAAAAAAGAAATGGAGAGTAGAAAGATAGAAAAAAACAAAGCACAGATGGATTCTGGTAGTTGATCATGCTGATCAAAGACACATTGTGTGTTCTCTGGTCAGCATGATGAGGCCTTTCTATGCACTCATTCAGCACTCGTTCAGCTGGCTCGACTGCGGTAGGTCCCAGAAGGAGTTGCCGAACTGAACAGCTCCAGAATGGCGGTTGGAGCAGGAATGGTGATCGTGTAAAGTTTGGCACTACATGATCTTAATTAAAGTGGATTTTGAGATGGCCTCTTATGGCACAAAACTATCAAGCCTTAAAAAGAACCACTGAAAAGAAAGAAAAAAAAATTTTAAAGTGGGGACATGTGTGTCAAAAAATAATTTTTACGCGAAAAAAAAAACAAAAACATTTTTTAACAATATTGACGGCGCGAAATTCATTTTAAATTCTGCGCGCAAAGTCCATGACGCCACGGAATGGTCGTTCGCTCTTTCCACCTCAACGAGAGGGTCACAACCTCTCTCCGGTCACAGCCTCTCTCCACCTCAATGTGATGGCCAAGCCGATGCACCTCTCCTCCACGCACCCGAAATGCCGAGAGAGAAAACAAGTGCAAAGGAGGTGACTGTCAATTAAATTGCCTCTCACGCCGTCAATATTGCTAAAGAAAAAAGATTTTTTTCGAGACATTCTTTCTTCCTGTCTTTTCTCTTCGACCAAGTTTCCCAGCTTTTACCAGAGTCTCGGGTGTTTTACATCACGATCAACATCCACCAGCTCACCTGCACACTTAATGTTTTTTTCCCAAAAAGTGGTTTTCTGAAAATGGTTTCACAATTGTTTTTTACTTTGTTTTTAAGATTCCTGTCTTTTCCAAAACAACGGCTGCTTAGATAATTTTATTGGTCATTCGAATGACTGGTTATCCTGTTTTAATTGGGAGCTGAATAATCTCTAAATCCGGTTTGTGCTGCTAGATCCAAGGCCAGCCGGTGCAAAGTGGTGAAGCTTGATGTCGCACGTCGCGACATGAAATGGAATTGGGCAAGCCGTCCACGACGAAAGGGTGTGTTTCTCTCATGCTTCGGAGCCCGTGGTCTGTCCGAGCAAGAAGCGCAGTGCTCAAGGGCGGGAAAGAGGGGAACAGTTGCAAAGGCCAGCACAACAAACGGGAGTATGGATGTTCGGCCGAAATGGCGTCTGGGATTGTGACGGCTAGGGAAACCAACACCCGAGACTATTGCAGAGACACAATGATTAGTTATCACCAGCTTGCCCGCTCACTTGGGGTTTTTTCGTACACGAAGGAGGTTGTACTCTGAGGAAATACACATGGGCAGCCTCTGCTGTGTCCACAGCATCATTGGAGATGTTGCCGTCCTCTGCTCAAGCCGTTTCTATTTGCAGGCCCGCTACGGAAACCACCTCTACTCGTTTGCCGACTTTGGTGGAGTCATTGTCGCCGCCGAGTTCTATGTCTTCGGGGGAGAGACGGACCGAATTTTGTGAGAAACTTCCACTTTCTGTTTTGTTCCGAGTTGCAACTGGGTTGAAATAAATTGGACAGTTTTTACTGTAGGGTTGCGCAAATATTAACATCTTCGAATACCAGTTTAGAATGATACGCTTTTTGATATTCGCTTCCAGTTCAACTCCAACATATTTTTTCAAGCGTTGATGGTGGCAGCTTAGACCCGTTTAGTGCTCTTCTCACGGAGCACCGGTTCAGTGCGGAAAAGCAACACCCGTGGAGCCTGCCTCCGCCGTGTTGCTTCTCCGCAACGCGCCAATGCTCGGTGAGAAGCGTGCTCAACGGGGCTAACCCCCGCAGGCATCGAAAAGTATAAATATTGCAGTCGCATGCTTGCGAGAAAAGCAGACTTTCAAAGTGGGATGGTGTATTTGCAAGGACTTTGTAAATGTTGATATCTACATCGCAATGAAATTTTCAAAATTGCCTTATAGATACAACCTGCATCGATCATTTGTCATTGTAAAAAAAGTATTTGCATACAGAATGAATATTCCTAGGTCGCCTTGATTAAGTATAGCTGGGCATTTTTATAGGTCCAATTTAATGTCAAATGTGTCGTTTGTAGGTCCAATCTGTCATTTTTGTACGTCCAGTCTGATGTCAAATGTCCATAAATATTGTTTAGATTAAAATTAACTCGGCATAGAAATGAACAAATGGAAGCTCGGGAACAACCTTCGCAAGTTCGGCGAGCTTTTCGTTTGAGAAAGGCTTTGAGAAACAATTAGATATTTGATTAGAAAATTCTCTGCCAAGACTACTCAATTTACTTCCAACTCAAAATCTACTATTCGCACACGCCTGGATTTTAGACATAGTAAGTCCCCAGGTTCGCTCTCTCGTTCAATTACTTTTATGACTTTATGGGTTCCGAATTGCTTTTAGAAACCTCGGTGATTTGCAATATTGTCACGTATGACGATTGATAAGGCAACGGAAACTGAAGCAAACATTTAATGGGGTTCTGCCCAAGACACAATAAATAGAGGCTAGCGTCGCAGGCGGCGAAACAGCAGAATCGAACGCTGGGGCCGAGACTGACTCCACTCGCCATGCGGAGTCCCTTATGTGCCCTCGTGGGTTCTTGGAACATTCGACGTAGAACACTCGACGTGTAGAACGTTCGGAACTCGATTAGACGACAATGTTCTCGAACTTACGAGAAGGCCAAGTTGAAAGAATAAATAAAAGGACAGTCCGCCTGGCTGGAATCGAACCTAGCCCTGCCGTGCGACAGTCAAGCGCAATAACCATTCGGCCACACAGGTGGCAATATTCCCTCGGGGGACTTGGTTCAGAAAAAAATGTATGGCAAATTACTAGGCAACTGTGTTGCATACGTGAAGCTTTCTAGCGTCACAAAAGTTTAGGGATACTCTTAGTTTTCAGACGCCTACGTTCACAGCGCTGTTCATCGGGTAGTTTAACGCGTACCATGTCTGCACGGGATAGTTGTCCCTAGAATGAAGCAACACTACCGTTAATATAACTCTGGCAAGCATCCAGAGCCTTCCATACTCTCGTCTTTTTCGGTGCACTCAGGTGGTCAGGCTCCTCCTCGCCTTCTTGCCCACCCATCTGGTCACAAGACCTCCCTAAAAACTAGAGTTCCGTGTTTTCGGATAAACAAAAAAAAATCCAAAAAACACTTGCCGGTAAATGTTCGGTCAATGCGGATTTATCGAAAGAACTCTGAATTTCGGGGTCACAGCGACAAAATAAACAGCAAAAAGACGGAGTTTTACAAGTAAACTTTATAAGAGCACAAGGTCAGTGGCCCCGAGGAGATTTCATTTCAGTTTCCTTTGAAATCTAGAACTACTTACGAAAGGGGCTTGCCTTTTGGCGCATCGAGCTTCCATCGGGACAACGAGTGGCGGTACCCAAACCTTATTTATTTTGTTTTTGAATGTTTTTTTTAAATCTTACGCTTTAAAATAAACTTTGAATTTCAAAGAATTGGGAATCTAGCAAAAATAAACTCCGATAAACCCTTAATCGCCGGCAAAAAATAAACTCTGAAAAACCCCCTCCGAATTTCACGAGAAATAAACGCCGAAAACACAGAATCTTACCAATGACCGATCGGTGTCAAGCCCCTTACTCCTCCTCTCCCACCCGTCAACCAATCCAAGTCCAGCCTTGCAGCCACGCTTTTATCTGGGCTTCATGAAATGCCGAACACCTAGCTAAATGTTTCACATTAATAATTTCTTTTCCAAAAGAAGTTTTGAAAGATCAGATTGGTCCAGCACCTGAAGAATATTTTTACCAATTTTCGTTCGGTAGTTTCTACCACATAGTTGATCAATTATTTTTGGTGACCCCCGTTCAAACTTACAAGTACCTAGAGAACTGAACACTTTGAATGTGTAGGTAGACATTTTATTTGAGTCAATCTGTCGTTTGATAATGGGACTAAAGAAAAGGCTTCATTGCTCCCCACTGAAACTGAATGCACCCAGGGAAGTTGCTTTATATTTCGGTCTTTGTTCGAAAATGTCGAGACTGTCAAGATACAGAAGGCTGTAAATTTGTTTAATTTTGGAGAATTTTTATGGGAATGAATTGGGTCAAATAATGCGCGCCCTTTGCCGGGCAGTCTGTTCTTTATCTAGTGAGGGAAAAGGTTGGACACTACTATTCATCTAACGAGAGATTGACCAGGTATAAAGCGTAATTTCCTAAACGATTATCGTAGTGAGCTTTGGACTGCATCATGGCTAGGACTCTGTTAACCTCCTCGCACGTCGAAGGCGGTTTGCCGGGGAATTGGGCCATCTCTCCCGGCGGCTAGAATCCCCGCAAGAGGGATGACTGGCTTTGCGGACACAGGATACCCATAACTCCGCATGGAGTATTTTCTGCTGCGTTGTCGAAGCTGGCGTAGCTCCCGCTGTGCTGCAGCTCGGCACTTGTGCGGGGGAGACGCCAAACGACCCACTGGAGCAAATAGCCCGGACAGCGTTGGGGGACTCTCGACTATGGCGCACAAGCAGCCGTAAGTCGGTCCTCGCTCGCAACGTTGCTTTTGAACAGGCTTGAATTGCCTTTGTGCAGTTGAGGAGCGGCCCGTAAAGCGGCCTGTTGAAAGGAAACAACTGGAGGCTCCCAAGCGAGATCTGCTGGGCCAGTTGCTTGCAGCTGCCTTCGAAACAATACTTTCAGAGGAACGCTGCCAAAGGAACCTACTTTCACCATGCGGGACATTGATCAACGTGCGAGCCTCCATATGGAGCTTAACGCAAGCCAACAGTGCTGCTCGGCTGCGCTATTTCACGTCCCAGCCGTACCTTTGGGCAGAAACACCATTCAAGTTGTTGGGTGTTCATCAAGAAAAAGGAGGGCGGACAAAGGCCGTATACTGGGTGTTTTGGTGAAGGCTTTCGAAAATTACTAAAGATGGGCTATCAAAAAAAAAAAAAAAAACTTCTCAGGAACTAACTGCCAGCCACGACGGACGTCAAGGATTGCAGAAAACATGCGAATGAGCCGAATAATGAACTAAATTTGACTAATTGACTTTTTAACGAGCAAAAATAAACGTATGATTTATACAGTTGAACTATGGGTGCTTTTGGTGCATTGTGTCGGCGATGGGCGTGGGTGGATCTAAATCCCGAGCGGGAAGCGTTCCCCGGTGTGTCCTCAGGACTGGCGTTTCTTGGCCGCAGTTACTCACTGGACATGGGCGAGAAGTGGTCGACGCTGCAGCTGCTGGAGGGGGAAAAGATCCGCGTGTACGGCCTCCTCACGGAGCCCGGCGAGAAGACGACTGTCTTCAACCTTTTCGGCTCCAAGACCGCCAGGCACGAGTGGCTCCTGGTCAAGATCGACATGCGCAACGTCTTCCGTGAGCCCCCTTTCTCTCATCTCCGACTTCCGCTCTCGCAGTTGAGCCACGTTTCTGTCTAGAAAAATACGCTCTCATTTATTCTCCGGGATCATCCCCAGAGTCTGACTTGCAATGCCACTTGACTCGGATTATAGATTCCCCCGCTGCTACGTCGAGGCACTCCCAGAAGGACATGTGCATTCCCTTTATGCCGTTTGCCTTCCTGGCTGTTACGTCGGAAAACTGCCTCTTTCTTTTAACGCGATAGCGTTAAGGAGCTTGTGTCGCAGAAAAGTCGGCGGCGGCGTTGTGATGGGGAAACCCCGATTGGTCGATAAGGTTGGGACGTAGCAGCCTCGTGACCTTGCGTGTGACGTCACGTGTAATCACACGTTTCACGCGCGACGTCACGTGAGACGTGACGTCACACGTGGAATGAAAGCGATTGAAATGTGACATATAATGTACTTTAGAGGTCGCCGCACATCTCAAATGATTTCACTTTATAAAGAAATTCATTTGCCTGAAAGAAAATTTTTTTAAAGTATTTTAGGCGGGATTCGAATCCTCGACCCTTTGGTTGCGCGCCAGACACGCTACCGACTATAGTAAGCTACAGCTCAAGAAGGTAGGGCGAGGGAAAGGAAGGTTGGGGTGGAGGAAGTAGACGGAATGCTGGAGAGGAGAGGGGGAAACCTCTCTCCAGCATTTTTTCAGCTTCCTCCTCCCCAGCCTTCCTTTCTCTTACGCTACCTTCTTGAGTTGCAATGGACTATCGGCCGCTATCGCATCGCACGCTTGCACGGCGAATGAGAAGGCGATGCGAACGGGTCCCAGTAACGCCATTGCATTCTGCTCTTAAAGGCGAACTTTAAGAGTCCCTCAAGTGTTTCCCCTGCCCCGTCCTAAATGCATTTCTAAGGCCATACTTGACGCTGACAGCGCAGGGAAAACCAATCTCACACCAGACACTCCGGAAGACAAGCACACGCGCTGAACTTACAGCTCTTGTGTATTCGACTACTTCATTTTTCTCTTCAACGTATGGGTTGACTTTTCAGAACGTGATAAGTAGAAGAAGTAGCACGAAATACGAGGAAAATTCTTGTATTTCGTACACACAAGAGTTGTAAGTTGAGCGCGTGTGCTTGTCTTCCTGAGTGTCTGGTATGAGATTGGTTTTCCCTGCGCTGTCACCGTCAAGTATGGTTCACCAACTCGCCCAAGCGTCCATTCTATCAAGTTACATTTCTAAGGCCAACTCTCAGCGCTTTTGTGTCTGAGCCTAGGATCTAGCCTCGATAGCGTGCTGCGTGGAGCGTGCCAAGCGTGCGATGTGAAGCGTGCAGTTGCAAATTGCGGGCAAAGCATGCGCTAGGCTCTTGCTGCGGGGACTCGGTTAGTGCCTAGAGGCAGCATACTACATACACTATAGACCACTTACAACGTAACCGCTTATAGTGCAGGACCGGGTATAACGCGGCTTTTTTAAACCACCGGTTCGCCTCCCATAGAACTCCATGTAATTACATACCGCTTAAAATGCAGGCACGCGAAGGGAAATACCGGTTATAGTGCGGTTTCTGGAACAGCCCGCCGACCACGCCAACCGTCCAACGCAGCGAGCACGCTTCCCTGTGTGGTGTGTTTCGTAAATACCGAACTAAAATAATCATTGAATGCCTTCGAGATAGAGTAATTATCAGATATTTCCCTGTCGTTTATCTTTATATTTTTCACGATATGTTTCCCACGAGAGAGAGAGCGCCAAAATTTCTGAGGGTCGCTTCATAAAAAGCTGTCCATTGTCACATTGAAAAAACGGTATCTTGCATTTTTTATCATCAACCGCAGCTGTCTCTTCTAGGTGTCAAAACCGGCACTTTTACACTTGGTTTTTTACAGCGGAGCTGTTAAGGGCTAGGTTCCTCAGGATTGTGTCTGGTACCAAACAGATGTCGACACAAAACTCTGGACAGCTACCACCATCTATGAGCGACGGCAGCAACCAGAAAACCGTCTTGCGGCCTTGCCCTTAGGTGGCAGCGACCTTTACAGCCTTTCCACTCTGGTTTTCATCAGAGTGGAAGGCTGAATTTTTCCAGGCATCGTCCTAGATGTCGTCCTAACAGTCATCCTTGAGGTCGTCCTAGACGTCGTGCTTGAGGTCGTCCTCGAGGTCGTTCTAGAAGTCGTTCTAGAAGTCGTCTTTGAGAGAGGTCGTCCTACAAGTTGTCCTTTGAGGTCGTCCTAGAAGTCGTCAGAGAGGTTGTCCTTGAGGTTGTCCTAGGCGTCGTCCTAGATGTCGTCTTTGAAATCGTCCTAGACGTCGTCCTTGAGGTCGTCCAAGACGTCGTCCTCTAGGCGTCGTCCTTGAGGTCGTCCAGGAAGTCGTCCTTGAGATAGTCCAAGAAGTCGTCCCACCATAGTACAGCTCCGCTGCTCTTCCTTCTTCACCAGAGTGGAAAGCCTGAAAGTTTTTTGTTTTTTTTTAGGGGCGAAACTTCTTACGGTCTAGTTTTGTCCGTCCGGCGTCCATGCTCACATCGATCTTGCTGGTGCTCGTGATCGTGCTCGTGAGCTCACGTGCTCAGGAGCACGTGCTTAAGTGCTTGTGTAGGGAAAAAAATAAAAAAATTATAAAATAAAAAAGAAAAATTGTTTGCGCAGTCGACAGGATTCAAACCTGTGCAGGGAGACCCCAATGAATTTCTAGTCCATCGCCTTAACCACTCGGCCATGACTGCGGGACGTGTAGGGGGCTCTGAGATGTGGTAGTAACTCAAGAGTTGGGGATGTCATGGATGAAACGTTGCATGTAGCCGCTCAACGTCTATACAGGAGAGGGCGCTGCGGTCAAATGCGTGTATAATGGCGTTAAACTTTGTATGCATTGGCTCAACGTTTATAGACATGAGGGCACTGCGGTCAAATGCTCAAATGCGTATATAACCACGTTCCATACCACACATTCTCTTTCTGACATGGATGGAAACGAACGAAAAGCTCGGCATGCTGCGGCTCAGCGTCTATGCACAGAAGCACCACCAGAGCTTCGCCCCAATCAACATCATTCACCACGTGGAGATGTGGACAATTTGTTTTTACACTTACGCTTAACTCGACGTTATAACTGCAGTATTTCTCTACTTATCCACGGACTCTCCTTGGGTATTGTCCCTTTGCGGAGGGGCACAAATTTGTTGATGCAGGTTAGTGCTAATTGCTTAAAAAAATCTTATTATTAAAAAAAAAAAAGAAGAAAATTAAGAAACATTCTAGTTATACATAAATGTACAAGTCAAAAGCTGTCTCACTTTCAGTCTGTCCTCGTGTGGCTGAGGGTCTTGGTGCTGTCTGGTTTCCAGCAGAGCTTGGTTGTTGATGAGTGATGTTCCTTGTGTTCCTTGATGATGGTCTGGGATGCTCTGCTCCGGGACACCGCCAAAGTCGTTAATCGTTCCCACCAGCGGCTACTTCGGGTCACTGCCGAATGCCTCGTTCATGCCGGATTTTGAAGCTTTGGTTGCACACCGCCAAGCTGATGTTTCACCCGACAGTAGCACCCTTGGGACGTCGCCAAGTGTGCTTCCACCTGGTCAGGTTACCGCCGAACAAGAACCCTTCCTCCCTTTCGCCCACTTCTCCTCGGACCTGCTTCCTCGACGTTTTCCTCTTCTGCTCCATTTCTCTTTTGTAGCACGACACTCCATGTTAACAAATTCATTGTAAGATTGGCCTAGTGAGTCCAGAATGTCCCCGTCCTGTGCCGTGCTAAAATCTCGAAACTCTCTAACAGACGCATGCACGTTTGGGCGCGGAATGGAGGAACACTTTAGCCAAATCATATGATGGCCTGATATTCCCGGTACAATCTCACAAAGATTTCCAGACAGAGTTATTTCCTGGGATACAAAAATATGATCAAGAATTGAACTGACTTGCTTAGTCACTCTAGTGGGTCCGTGTATTATTTGTGTGAGATTGTAAGCAAACGATGTGCCAAGGAGTGCCTCGGAATGACAGCAGTCGGTTGTTGAGCACACGGTATCCCAATCGATGTTTGATAGGTTAAAATCCCCACCGAGATAAATGTTTGAAAAGTGTTCGCTCGCAGAGAAAGCTATCAAGTGCATACACATGTTCGATACTTGCATTCGGTGGCCGATACATGGCACCTACTGTAACAGCTTAGAATATGGTCCTTCCCCGCGACTGTTCCATCTTCTCTCTTGTGCTATTTCTCGTTCCCAGAGTTGCCGCTGTAGCAACAAACGGCGGTGCTGCGTTACTACTAGAGGTGCTGCAAACCCTGAGAAACCACGTGACTCGCGGCAAGCTGCTCAATCGGCCATGTTGTCGGCAAAACATGTGGATCAAAGGGTTGTGTGACTCTGCTCTGATATAGTGCTCTAGCCCCGGCCAACGTCTGCGGTGAAAATACAGGCTGGAGCGTGGTTTGTGTGGCACGATGAAGCCGGTGTAATCTTTGTTTGTGCTCCAAGCGGGACTATGGGATGCCCAGGGTACGTGTGCAGTGCGGACGACTACAAGACGTGGTCCCCTCACGGGCCGTCGTCGAGCTGCCTGCTGGGCCGCCGGGAGGAGTTCCAGGTGCGAGTGCCGCACTCCCTGTGCTACAACGGACGCGACTACGTGCGCCCGGTGTCCCTCGTCAACTGTCCCTGCGAGAGGAGCGACTTCGAGTGGTGAGTCCCTCTCGCCTCGTCCCAGGCAGAAGCTCTCTTCGCTTTTCTACGTCCTTGGCCGACCACGAGACGTGGACAAGTGTGTTACTGTGCGCAATAGCAACTCTCGTTTCTTCACACCTTGTGGCAAAAAGCTGCATATGCTCGAATCTCGTTAATTCAAACTCGAAGGGTGCTGAAAATTTGTTTGTATAAAGCAAAGTTCGAATTACCGGGAGTTTCCTCTTACAGAGAGACATAGGATGGAACCTGCATGTTAGCTTGAATTAATGAGATTCGACTGTATTTTTCGCACGTCCCATTAATTTTGTTGCTGTGGGATTCAACTGCGCGTGGCATTAGCGGAGAACCGCAGTTGTGCTGGTATGCGGGTGCGCACGAAGCCACGGTCGCGAATGGAATCGTATCCCGTTTCCACAGACTGGAGCTGGGTACGACCGGTAACCCAATCGATATTCATGCAGAACATGAACGAGCGTCGTAACGAGCGTTCTAGGGAACGTCGTGAACTAGTGACGTCCTGGGAGCATTACGGACGTTGAGCTTCTATATAAAGGTTATAGATAAAGTCAGAGCCCCCAGCGGGGACCGAACCTGGGTTGGTACGGTGGTAGTCGGATCTGCTGAGCTACTAGCGCAGCTGGTGCGGATTAGGAACTTTTTTTAATCTAAATGCAAAGGTGACAGCAACAGCGGCCTGTTTCGCGTGAAAATAATAAATAAATAAATAACGAAGAAAGTAATTCAGATAAGGTAAATAAACGTAAAATAATATAAATATATGACAATTAAGTAATTAAATAAAAATAAAATAAATGTAAAAAAAATTACCGAGTGAATAAAAAAAGATAATAAAATGGAAAATAAATGACAATAAAAGAAAATTAAAATTACAAAAAAGAAGAAAAAAAAAATGGGTAGTAAAGAGATTATCTAGCACAAACGTCACACAGAGTGCATGTGGTCTGTGCTCCCTGGCCTTTGTCGGCATAATCGAGCCTGTATTGTATTTCTAAATCTTGGAGCAAAATATTTCTTCAGCTTAACTGAAGAAAAATATGATGTTGCATATTTTTGCGTTTATTACTCGCTCCTGCAAATAATCCACACCCCAACTTACTGCTCTCAGTAAAAGCGAAGAATACCTCACGTATTACACGCACAATTAACTTCGCAAACCAACACCCAGATCTTATTGAAATCCTACCTCTACTTTGTAACTATTCACTTTTCACTGCAGTCATTGCAGCTATCGTCCGAGTCACCTTCGCTGCCACAGACAGCGTCATCTGTACCATCTAAGCAGTTGCTGACGCAGCCATTTTTTAAACCTCCACATCATCTCGTTTGTGAATGTCGTGGTCATGCCGTATCTCTCTCGATGGTGTTTGCAGTGCTGTGATTGCTGGGCCAATTGCGCCAAACTGCACCAAGGGGCTAACCCTGCTTCATCATGCTACATTTTGCCAAAATATGGGTAATCTGCACCAAGCCTGTGCCAGAAACCCAATTTCGGTCGCCTTTCAAAACGAAACTAAACTGAGTACCGTAATTGAGCTTGCCTGTGTTATGTGGCGCATGCGGCCGCCCGACACAAAATACCCTGCATCAATTGTCCATCCGGTCTTGCATGGTTTTCCCGCCGTCTCACGTTTCACGCTCTCGTCGTCTCGTGGGTCTCGTCTCGCGTCTTTTTTTAAAATATTTTCAACAACAGATGTGGGTGTGTGCGGACGGTCCGATGCTAGCGTGCCGGGTACCGGTCATGCCGTCATGCTGTGAAACGAAACCATGTTTTTGCGCTGTGGAAGTTACCTTATGAGCTGAAGCACTCGCTCCTGAAAGCAGTGGCCATGGGAAAACTATATTTAGTCCGTGCCTTCCAATCACCGTGATTGCACGACGTCGGGTGTTGCCGTCCCCACGTCACTGTAGATATGGCACTTTCTAAAATGAAACTAAGTACTGCCGCATGTTCATCAACATTCCTCTTCTTGTTCAAATCATACGTTACTATAAAAATCCCTCTTTAACGCAATGACTTCTGTGTCGAAGTATTGATTACCTAGGTTTCTCTCGGTGGGCTTTGTTTCGAGAGGGACCCCGGTACGTGAAAAATTTGCCACGAAAAACGTTGGTGAAGAGAAGTGAGCTAAAGCAAAAAAGGCAATGTTACATGCTGAACCCGCACAGCGCACTTGTTTGTGTCGAGTTCAGTCGTTGCACAAAGTGCTCAAAAAACTTTTTGACCCTGGCTTGCAATGCCTTGCATCGATGCGCCCAGGATTTTTGTGTTTGTGTGTGTGTGTTTAGCTTGTAAGTACCTTGTTTGCCGGCCTGGCAAGCACGCGCGCTGGACTGTTTTTTGTCGTATGCTTGACAGTTACATTTTGCATACAGTTTTGGGAATCGGTTGGTGACGGAGCGGAGTGGCATGGTTTCGGTTTCGATCGAACAGCCATTGTCTCCGCTCGCGCAACGAAGCATGCGCAACTACAAGCCTGCCGAAGTTGCCCTCACGTGCATGCGAACATGATAGCACGACAGAGTCACCAGCCTGTATGCTTGCAATCCATTGTTTCACGTTTGCTTACTTTTGACGAAAATCTGGCACGTCGGGAACCAGTAAAACGGCGGCAAGTGGTTTTTCGGAATTGCTCGGCAATGCCTACAGCACTGTACACTTGTGGGATGTCTCAGTAGTAAAAGCACAAGCAGCGAGTTCTGTCACAACTAGTCACATCAAAACACAGCACAAAGTGCCTTTCGTTTGTACAGCATTTAAACCAAATATTTTTCTTTTCTAAGAATATCTGCTCCAAATGCCACTTTTGCTGCTCCTAAACATTATCTTGGCTGCTCCAAAAGCCACTTTTCCTGATCCAAAACACTTTTTTTTTGTTGCTCGCTTCGCAAAGGGTAGGGTGTGTGGTGCGGCGGCTCGCATTTTGCGAGCGGCCACAACGACAGGACGTGATCATGATGGTGCAGTGGTGATCGAGTGGATCCCGGCCCACATGGGCAGTGAAGTGTCGGTGAACGGTAATCCCAACCACGAGACAGCCAACGTCGCAGCGCGAGGACTCACCAACCGGGCGGCGACAAACGGGACAGTCTCACGTGGTGGAGAGTGGTTTAGTACGAAGGACCGCATGATGACTACGTATAACGAAATAGTGGTATAGGTTAGGAAGGAGAGCTCCCCCTCATTCCGAGCTAAAACGTGAGGAGGCTGTGATTTTTAGACAATTACAGACAGGGTCGCTATTAACACCGGTGCTAGCTAAACACATCTATCCAGAACGCGGACGACACGTGTGGACTTTGCAAGAAGGCGAGGGCCACCGCGCCGCACCTGTTGTGGGACTGTGAACTCAACCCAAGAGAGGCAAGCGAGAAGACTACGATTCCCCCGCAGTTCGAAAACGCGGCGCGGAGCTGTGAATTAGAGGTTCAGCGTAGGGCCGTCCGGCTGATCACAACCGCTCTAGATAGGCAACGGGCAAGGGATGATGGGGGAGGTGAGGGAGCTCGCGGAGGTCCCATGGGCTCCCCCCTCTCGGCCCCGGATAGAAAAGGGGCGCGCCCGGGGCCGAGGGCTGGTGGGAGGGGAATAGCCGAGGGGGTCGTACTGCATGGCGCGTAGTCACCACCACCTGCGTGTGGAGGGGCTACCACCAACTGCTGGTTCCAAATAAAAGTTGTTCACCACCACCAAAGGCCACATTAGCTGCTCTAAAACACTGTTTTGGCTGCTGCGAAAGGTGCTCCAAAATGGTTTAGGCCAATCACATCACTGTGTTTGAGCTTTCCTCTCCTCGACAAACTTTGCGAGCGTGTTTTCGAGTTTGGGGGTTTGCAGCAGTCTTGGGACCGTAAAATGATCTGCGGTCGCGGCTTCCAAAGTGTAGGCTCTCCTTCTCCCTCCATTCTCGCACGCACAACTTGCCAATGTCGTAGTTCTCGCTTCCCAGTCCGATCTCTTCGGCAATAGCTTTTTGCTTTTACTGGGCTGTAAATGACTTCCACCTAGCGCAACATGTGGTGAATGGTTGGGAGCAAACGAGATGACGAGGTTGACGTGATCTGACTGGATCTAACGACATTCGCTGCGGTTCAGCACTCCTCTTCCTCGCCAATTCCTCTCTCACATATGAACCACACATGGCCATCGGGTGATACATAGTTGCTTCTACCAACTCAGTGGCACCAGGTTCTGCTCATGATTGCGGCAGCTCACTGCGCCTGCTGCCTTTTATGTTGTCGTGTAACAAAAATGAATTCTATCAAACTCGGTCTCCATCGTGCAGGTGGATATCAGCGCTCTAACGATGTGTGTAACTTCTTTCAGTTTGAGAGATGTGTTTTGCATCGATAGAAGTTCTTGAGGATTTTGACTGCGATTCCTTTGTGCATGCCCGTGGGAAGGTTTTGTGGACCACAACCTCGCAATATGTTGGGGACTGTTCTCTGTGTGCATCGGAACCAACATTGAACCTTGAGGTTGTCTATGCTGTTTCATTAATAGGTATCGTGACCAACGTTGGACCAACTATATGCGACTTTCCAGGGGCACTCTGCACAACTGCCCAAGTCATCCGATTTGAAGCGAACGAAACTTCACTTTGATCAAGTCCATTCGCTGGTGCAACAAAGGGCCGAAATAGGTACATTGTTTGAGCTGTTCGGTGGTTTTCGGAAATCTAAGAAAACCGCTTGTAAGTTCGTGTTACTGCAAAGTTCAGGACGTAATCCAACAGGGGCACGCCGGTAAACGAAAGTCCCCGTAGAAGGCTTCTGTAGCGATTCACGCTGCAAAGCCCCATCTTGGTCTCGGCAATGCCACACACTTTCATTTGCTCAGCGGATCGGCTCGTCCTCTTGTCATGGTCCTTTGTCCACCCATCAGGGTCTGGCATGTCTCGCCGATCTGGCTTTCACGTTGCTCTCGTTCCACCTACCTGACGGAGCGGCTCCAGTTCTCTGGCATGCACAGCTGG